CTTCAATGCAGTTGTCCTATTCTGGAAAATCGACTATAGACACATTTCTAGATAATATAAGAATATTAAAAATGGCGAACAACCAACTACTTTACTATTATCTTTAGGATCATTACTTTAATGATATATTACCAATTCTTAAGAAGTTTCTTCAGGAAAGAAATGAATTTCTCTATCATTTTTTCCATTTTGTTTATACAGGAATGAAAAGAATAAATTAAGACAATTTCAACCGCAATAATTGAAAATCCTTTCAAGGATATCTGCAAAGAATTCTTTGAAGATTGCGTAGAACGTTCGCAAATGTTAATATTCAAGGGACGCTGATCTATTCTTGATGTCATTTAATTTAATGTACATTACCAATGGGTAATAGCAGGAACCAAAGAAGCATTTGGAGCAATTGTACAGGATATTGTCAATTAATTAAGTTGGTTTAATATCAACAAACAACAATAATGATATTATAATAATTAATTAATTAATAATTTTTAATTAGAAATAATATCGAAATCCCAAAAATAAAGACCTATTTAAACGCATTGTGGAAAAGGCTTTGATTTTAATAGCGTCGCTTATCAAGAGGCTGTTCTCAATTTTTATACGAATTAGATTGGAAGGTAAAACTAAGATAATATTTTTTGTCATCTAATATACATTTATCTATTATAGGATGACTTTAAACCTTCATAATATACTGAAAAAACTTCGAAGGAACGTTGAACGAAACGCGAATCTTTTCTATAGCAAGATTCAATGTTTGGATGACTCAACTCTCATTGAAAAGATGGATGCTTGTAATAGGTAACGTTTTAAGTTATTTTAATTAACCATACCTTTCTATTACCATTTCTCTTCGTAGAAAAGTGAAAGTTTAAGGAATTGACGGATAGTTACGTAATTTATTCAACGCTTTACGTAATAATGTTACCAATAAATAGCATCCTTCGATTTCCTACATTTTGTATGTACAAGAGTAGAATTTATACGCAATACAATCGTTATTACGTAATAATACTAACGATATTTCATAAAAGAATCTTCTAGCATATAGAATCGTACGTATCACACCATAATTGAACATTTCGATCGCTTTCCAAAGGTTTAATGTCCTCCTGACAAAGAACTTTTAAAAGCTTTTTTATCCATTTCTTTAATTTCTTTCTGATAAGAAGAGACGTTTAATTGTTATAATTTAAATTATTAATTAAAAACTATATTATTGATTACTTGTAGATAATCGCCAAAGTTTTGTAATTCGAAAAAGTTCATTAGAAAAGGAAATTACCGCATGATACGCAATTCTCTTCGTAAACGGCTAGGATTATTATCATTAATTTCTTACAAATTGGCTTCCATTTACTAACATTATCGGACATTTTACTGTAAGATAATTGAAAACAATTCTTTTTATTACATAATGTAATTGAATAATGGTAGAGAGATGAGGGAAGAGCGGAGGGAAGGGGAAAGAGAGCTGTTGTTCTCTCTTATTCTTTCTACTTACTTATCATAAATAAATTTAAAGCGATCAAAATTATTTGTAATCCTCTAGCTCCAGGTGAATTTTCGCTGTATCCATTTTTACTACAAATCTTCAACTGCAATAGATTTAAAAATTCTGTTACAGTTTGTACTGTATATTTTCTTTGCGGTATATTTGAGAAATCTTCTGATAAATTGTTCAGATTATCAGCAGTTAATTTACTTAAAGGACAATATTTCTGAACTATTTTAGTTTCTTCTGTCATGTTGATCTCAAAATTATATAACTGTAAAAATGGGAAAAACTGCAAATTACGCCACACTATATAGAGAAAATTTGCTGATTGTGTAGTCACGTTTGAACTGAATATGCTTTTTTTTATAACCTTCACCTTTGAGGATATTGATTAAACGGTCACTTATTGAACACAGTTGTCATAGGTGATAGGGACAGAAACTATTAAGTCTAAGGTTTCAGCCAAAAGAGAACGATTTCTAAATTCATAATTACCAGTTTCTTCTAGTAGAAATATATTATATTTTGTTAAAAGGAACATGCTCTGACAGGTGATAATCAGCTATTTAGATAAATCAACATTTTACACTATTGCGATATTACTCTCTTCAACAGGCTAAATCGTTCACGCATTCATTCTCAAAGAATTACTAATGATGACAAAAATGTTAACGGTTCTCTACACTGTAGGCCCCACGGGATCAACAGAAAACGGCCCCAACAGAAAACGGCCACAAATCAACAGAAAACGGCCACAAATGAACAGAAACGGCCCCAACCGGAACAGAAAACGGCCCCAATCAGAACAGAAAACGGCCACAAAATTTCGAAATATACAATACTCATAAATTGAATAGAATAAGTTAATTTAAAATTTTTTTCTATTAGTTAGTAAATATTGGATGAAAAAATATTAAATTGTCCACCAGTTTTTCCTAAGAGGTTGAATATTTTGCACTATTTTTTAAATTCCTGCCAATAGGTTAAAGCAGCTCAAAGGAGATTTTTGCCACAATGCTACCATATTGTTTTGGATGTAAGAAAAAGATTAATAAGCTGAAGCAAGGTGTTTGTTCACTTTGTCATCATAAAGTCCATTGGGCTTGTTTATCAGGTAAGATCCAAATTGATTTTAATGTAAACTAAGCTCTTTCTTTTGTAGATGGATTATGTTCTATATGTTCAAGTGTTGATAAAAAAAGAATCAGAATTATTCTGAGCAAATGTGATGAAATTTTACAAGATAAATCTACCAATAAAGTCTCAAATGCTGAAAATATAGATCTAAATCATTCAAGAGAAGAGATAGATGTGCAAAATATAATAATGGATGTTGATCATGAAGAAGTGGTTACCCTTATTGAAACACTGAATTGTGATGCAGAGTACAGGCTTGTTGATAATCTTAGTGAAAGCAGCCCTCTGCATGGAAATATATTACATTTGAATGAGAATGATATCAATATGGAGGAGTCCTTTGAAAGTATACCAGAGGTGAACTATGACAGCAATGGTAAATTCAGAATATTCCCTACAGGAAGTCAAAAAGGCAAAGAATTACTTGTATCTAATGGTCACTCATTTGTTGTCAAAAGAAAAGACAAGACTTCCATAATTTGGAGATGTGGAGTTTTAATGCATTTAATATTCATTTCACTGTTTTTCAGTGCATTAATCAACTGCTACAATATAAGGAACCAAAAAGATAGTTATGGATTTTGAAAAAGCTGTTTGGAAAGCTGTATTAAATAATTGGGAAAATGTAAATCTGTCAGGATGCTTATTCCATTGGAATCAGGCAGTTTATAGAAAAATTCAGGTATTATTCAACCTAAAACTCAAACTGGAGTCATTTTTAATTTTGTTTTTTTAGGAGCTTGGTTATTCATCAGACTTCAACAAAAAAAATGGACAATGGTTTGAAATGAGACAGCTAATGGCTTTGCCATTCCTTCCATCTCACATTATTCCAATAGAGTTTATTAAAAATAAGGATTACCTTAAATCAATTGATAAACTTGCTGATTTTATTGATTATTTTGAAAGAACTTGGATTTTGAATGATGTTTGGTCACCAAAATGTTGGTCTATCTATCAATGTGCAATCAGAACAAATAATGATGTTGAGGGATTTCACAATAGGTTGAATGGAAATGTTGGAGTGAATGTTTCATTTTATTCTGTGATAGATGAATTGAAAAGGGAAGCAGACCTTATAGCAGCATATCAAAGAATGTTATCAGAAAAGAAGATATTAAGATACCAAAGAAAGTTTTATAAGAACCTCCAAAATAAAATATTTTCAATTTGGGAAAGATTTGAAAAGCATGAGATTACTTCATCAGAAGTTCTAGTAAAGTGTTCTGAACTTTATTTAGTAGCTCAATAAATAAATCAATTGTTGTTAAATTGCATGATCTTTTAAGTTGTAGTCTCATAATGTATTCAACTCTTCAAATAAACACACTTTCAAAATTTAATTCATTTCTTGTTTTATATATTTTAGGTTGAAGAATCCTGTGGCTGTTTTCTGTCTCAGTTGGGGCCGTTTTCTGTTGATTTGTGGCCGTTTTCTGTCGTATTCGGCCCCACTTTTGCAGTAGAGGACCATAATTTGTCAATAGCAGTCCTGACAATCTGAAATGAATGTTGAACATAAAAAGTGAACAAAGAATTCTAATTGGTCGGTTAACTACTTACTCCTGAGCGGAAAAAATAGTGAAAACTATAATTGAAGTCGTATCTTTTATAACGATAAATAATTTCGGATCTCGCTTCAATTCTATTATATGTACTTGCAAACATAGCAATAAGCAAATTAACCAACACAATAATAGCTCCAAATAGATAAATTGCCATCAGTATTACTGCTACTGCTGAATTTTGTGGACAACGATCGCTGCTACCATTTATAGATGTTGAATTACACGATTCTTCATCATTTCCCGTAATTTCTTCAAGAAATAATTCTCCGTATATTTGCCAATATGGCACGTATACAATATTTTTGAAAAGGGTAAGTCCAAGTGGAAAATTGGGATATAAAAGTCCTTGTAGGGCAACTCCATAGGCCAATATAAATATTAAGAATATTGGAATCATTACTCCTGTATCTTTAATCATTTCAAAAATCATAATTAGCCTTATTCCAAATGTTTGCCAATTGTATAAGAATAGTGCAGTTCTCAAATAAAACAACGAAATTGAAATGGCGTAAAAGCTTCTTACAACTGCAAAGTTCTTGTTTGGTATTACAAAAATAAGTATTACTGATAGTAAACAGAAAATGAATATAAGCAATTCAAGAATATTCCAAATATCATCTGTCAAATGTTTCCGATATTGTAGAAGACTCAGCTCTTTTATCTATTTTATATGGGGGAGGTAGAGGGGAGGGAGGGGAAGACAGAAATTGTCATTACAGTGAATTATGGGAATGAATTTGTTACCTGACTTATTTCCATCAGTACAATAAGACTAAGGAAAAAGTAAAAAGCCACTTCGCTAACATGTAAAGATTTATCAGTTTTTGGTTGAAGATCAATTAAATAATAGAAGGAGAATGTGAATAAACATAGAAGATGGAGTATCTGTTGATTGAATGGTAAAATTAGAAAATTAGAACAGTTAATTAAATATCATACTTACGAAAGCTATCCAAAATTTTACTATTGGTGAAAAATTGGTTCCGTTGCCCAAGTTTCCTCGCCATAATTCATTCAAATACCATTGGCCAAATGCACTGGCAATATATTCTTTAAATCCTACAGCTCTAGCCCAGTCTATGGAATTTGGTCTCTGCTTCGCTTCTTCCTTTACTTTTTTGTCAATATTGTTTTCATCATTTTCACAAGCATCATTTAAATATCTAAGGGCTTTGTCTTTCCAAACTTGTTTCCTCTCTAACAAGGATGTAGCTAAAAAAGTATCACATTCCTTGATTGCCTCTTTCCTAGCCCGTTTTAAAATTCCAAAAGCAAATATAGCCAATTTTAAAGGATTGTTACTCTTCAGCCAAAAGTATTCCGAGACTTTTGTCTTGTTGGCAATAATTGACCAAGCAAATATGAATGTTATGTCATCACCATCTAACAATTTATTTTCCAGTGAGCTATAAACTGAACAATTCTTATCAAAATGTTCATTAAATAAATTCAGTACAGCATTCTTAAACTCTTTTTTGAAATTATTAAGCTTTTCTTTATGATTTTGAGCATCTTCATTTTCATTAAAGGCTTCATTATTCAAAATGCTTAAGAGTTTTTCAGCCCCTTCACACGATTGTTTCTTATTAAACTCTTCAAGACGCACATTGTAGTCTTTAATCGATTTCCCTTCACCATTTAACTTTTCTAAGACAACAATTGGCTTTTTCTCTAAATTCTGAATGAATTTAAAACCTTTAACGTTGTTAAGTGAAAGTGGAAAAAGTTCATCAGGGTAGAAAGTCTTTGTTACATCTGGAAAAATACTATGAACTATTTCAACGACACGTTTATTGTCACTTTTTAAGGAATCTGTAAAGAATTCTTGGTAATTTTGAAATTTTTCTTTTTCAATGTAAGGATCAAAATCTTCCTTAAACTGTTTATGAGTAATTCCCCAGCGGATTGCCAATTCAAATTGATCATCATCATTTAATTTGTTGAAATAGGCATCTTCAATAGCAGTTTTTAAATCTTCTTTATATAAATTAACTATATGAATTTGATCTTTGTATTTAGAAATTGTTTTACACAATTCAAAACATTCATCTACTTTTTTTGTCATTGTAAGATTTTTTATCTTCTTTTTCCATAAATCGGAAATTTCACTTTCTGCCTTTTCAGATTTAATTATAGAAATAAATCTATAAAGAAATAATGATGTTTTTCCACATTTTCTAATGATAAATACATTAGGTTTTTTATCAATTCTATGATTTTTCACTGTTAGTATGTTGCATATTTCTTGTAGAGTTTTGTATATTTCACCGCCAATTACTATTAATATTGAAATTAAATAGAAATCAGGAATTTTATCTTCCGCTTGTGTAATTTGTTTCTGCAATATCGCTTTAGGGAGAAATGATTTTTTAAGTGATTTATAGTGGTCATATTTCTCTTTATGATTAGGGCACTCCTCCTTTGAGCTATGTTCAAGACATGACGGTTCTGTACTATATAATTTAATTTTCTTTTCTTGTGTCGCCTTTTTACAGGGTCCTAATAATTTTGAACATCCATCAATTAATATCAATGGTTTGAATACTTTTACAACTACATTAAATTTCTTTTCAAAGATTCTCATAAACTGATTATCAAAGTTATCGTGCTCGTCATTATTGTTAAATGTTATAAATAAATGTTTGCCTTTCAGTATATCTTTCCTTTCTTTCAAAGTATTTTTTACAGTTGCGTTGTCTTGTTCATCAATAAAGTAGGATGGATAATTTTCTTCATAAATCTCTTGAAGACAGTCTTTTAAACCATTTTCCTCTTTTTTGAATGTTTTCAAATATTTCTTGCACTCTTCATTCATCTTCTCATCTTTAATTTCAGTTGGAGAAATAATATATTTTTTAGACTTTAACCTTTGAATAACCTCATCATTACTATTGCCTTCAAAATTAATTAAGACATCAATAACCTTTTCATGTTGTGTCTGAACATGTTTAATGAATGCTTCTTTAGTTTCCATTTCATCCTCACCTTCTCCAAGAAAATAGAAATATTGATGATTTAGGTCCAAACCGGCACCCTTTAATGTCTCTTGACTTACACTATCTTTATTTTTGATTGTATTATGTTCACCCTTTACAAATCCACACCATATAGATTTGTTGTCATTTGTAGCTTTTGTCAATAATCTATTTGATTTTCCATCAGTTAAAAATAATGATGCATTTTCTGTTAGATGATGCTTAATTTGTTGAATATTATCATCAGATAGAGTTGAATATGGTAGTTGTATTATAAAGTTTGGTTTCATGTTGAAATTAGGAAAGTTTTTAACCATACAATTTACTCCAATATCAGATAAATATGATTTTCTTACAAATATTTTCTCTTTATTAATTATATTGAATATAATTATCTTGAGAAAGTCGTCTCTCTTTTCATCGGCTATTCTTAACCATTCAGTATTTTTTGTCACCTTGTTAGCTAAACGATGTTTATTTTTATTGTTCAACCATATTACATCTTGTCTCTTAGCTAAACAGTTTTGTATTTTTACTAAATTATCATCATTTTCATCAAAAATCAAATGAATTACTTCATTTTCCATCTCTCTCTTCAAATCATCAACAATCGATAAATAATTAACATTTCCCTCATCGTTTTCTTTTGGATTATATATAACTATTGGAACAGGACAACCTCCATTTTCCTCATATTTTTTAATACTTTTTAATAGTAATTTCAATGCAGGATATTCAAGACTATCCGATGTTATTAATACTTTCTTTTCTTTAAGAATATCTATAAAATTCTCTATAAATTTGTTTTCAATCTCTTCTTTTTGCTCATCAAATGTGTCATTTGAAGGATGACAGACAATTGTTAGATCAAATTTATCAATAGAAAATTTTTCTTTTAGTTTTGATAAAATTATTGTTGAAGGTGATGCTGCAATCTCTTTTTTTGAAGAAGAAGAATCTGCGGTTTTATCTCTTGATGAAGAAGAATCTGGAGTCTTTTCTGTCGATGAAGAATCTGCAGTCTTCAATTCTATTATATGTACTTGCAAACATAGCAATAAGCAAATTAACCAACACAATAATAGCTCCAAATAGATAAATTGCCATCAGTATTACTGCTACTGCTGAATTTTGTGGACAACGATCGCTGCTACCATTTATAGATGTTGAATTACACGATTCTTCATCATTTCCTGTAATTTCTTCAAGAAATAATTCTCCGTATATTTGCCAATATGGCACGTATACAATATTTTTGAAAAGGGTAAGTCCAAATGGAAAATTGGGATATAAAAGTCCTTGTAGGGCAACTCCATAGGCCAATATAAATATTAAGAATATTGGAATCATTACTCCTGTATCTTTAATCATTTCAAAAATCATAATTAGCCTTATTCCAATTGCTTTCCAATAGTATAAGAATAGTGCAGTTCTCAAATAAAACAACGAAATTGAAATGGCGTAAAAGCTTCTTACAACTGCAAAGTTCTTGTTTGGTATTACAAAAATAAGTATTACTGATAGTAAACAGAAAATGAATATAAGCAATTCAAGAATATTCCAAATATCATCTGTCAAATGTTTCCGATATTGTAGAAGACTCAGCTTTCTCTCGTCATATTTCTCTTTATGATTAGGGCACTCCTCCTTTGAGCTATGTTCAAGACATGACGGTTCTGTACTATATAATTTAATTTTCTTTTCTTGTGTCGCCTTTTTACAGGGTCCTAATAATTTTGAACATCCATCAATTAATATCAATGGTTTGAATACTTTTACAACTACATTAAATTTCTTTTCAAAGATTCTCATAAACTGATTATCAAAGTTATCGTGCTCGTCATTATTGTTAAATGTTATAAATAAATGTTTGCCTTTCAGTATATCTTTCCTTTCTTTCAAAGTATTTTTTACAGTTGCGTTGTCTTGTTCATCAATAAAGTAGGATGGATAATTTTCTTCATAAATCTCTTGAAGACAGTCTTTTAAACCATTTTCCTCTTTTTTGAATGTTTTCAAATATTTCTTGCACTCTTCATTCATCTTCTCATCTTTAATTTCAGTTGGAGAAATAATATATTTTTTAGACTTTAACCTTTGAATAACCTCATCATTACTATTGCCTTCAAAATTAATTAAGACATCAATAACCTTTTCATGTTGTGTCTGAACATGTTTAATGAATGCTTCTTTAGTTTCCATTTCATCCTCACCTTCTCCAAGAAAATAGAAATATTGATGATTTAGGTCCAAACCGGCACCCTTTAATGTCTCTTGACTTACACTATCTTTATTTTTGATTGTATTATGTTCACCCTTTACAAATCCACACCATATAGATTTGTTGTCATTTGTAGCTTTTGTCAATAATCTATTTGATTTTCCATCAGTTAAAAATAATGATGCATTTTCTGTTAGATGATGCTTAATTTGTTGAATATTATCATCAGATAGAGTTGAATATGGTAGTTGTATTATAAAGTTTGGTTTCATGTTGAAATTAGGAAAGTTTTTAACCATACAATTTACTCCAATATCAGATAAATATGATTTTCTTACAAATATTTTCTCTTTATTAATTATATTGAATATAATTATCTTGAGAAAGTCGTCTCTCTTTTCATCGGCTATTCTTAACCATTCAGTATTTTTTGTCACCTTGTTAGCTAAACGATGTTTATTTTTATTGTTCAACCATATTACATCTTGTCTCTTAGCTAAACAGTTTTGTATTTTTACTAAATTATCATCATTTTCATCAAAAATCAAATGAATTACTTCATTTTCCATCTCTCTCTTCAAATCATCAACAATCGATAAATAATTAACATTTCCCTCATCGTTTTCTTTTGGATTATATATAACTATTGGAACAGGACAACCTCCATTTTCCTCATATTTTTTAATACTTTTTAATAGTAATTTCAATGCAGGATATTCAAGACTATCCGATGTTATTAATACTTTCTTTTCTTTAAGAATATCTATAAAATTCTCTATAAATTTGTTTTCAATCTCTTCTTTTTGCTCATCAAATGTGTCATTTGAAGGATGACAGACAATTGTTAGATCAAATTTATCAATAGAAAATTTTTCTTTTAGTTTTGATAAAATTATTGTTGAAGGTGATGCTGCAATCTCTTTTTTTGAAGAAGAAGAATCTGCGGTTTTATCTCTTGATGAAGAAGAATCTGGAGTCTTTTCTGTCGATGAAGAATCTGCAGTCTTTTCTGTCGATGAAGAATGTGCAGTCTTTTCTGTCAATGAAGAATCTGCGGTCTTATTTCTTGATTCAATCTCTTTATATGTTTCAATACAAATTTCTCCATGAAAAATAATCATCTCCTTCTGAAAAGAGCAGTCAACTTAAGGTATTTTGTTTAATAATACAATCTGGTCAAAGAAATGAAATATTTAATTCTTAAAGATTTTGCATTCATTTTTCTTTAAATTTTAATAGATTATAGGAAAAATAGTGTATTAAACGTTTTAAATACTGTAAATATTTTATTTACCGGCAAAGATGATTCTGGAGGAGGAGTTGCCATTCTTTTTAAAGAATTAGACATTTAAACTGTCGCTGTTCGAAGACAAATGAATAAATGAAGGATTGTCAGTAATGCGAATAATTAAGTATCTTGGGTTTTCCAACTTTCGTTTTTGGCTAATTTTTTATCAATATTTGCAGTGAAGCTGAGGATGAAACAGCCAGTTTTGTTACGAGGTCTACATGATGGAATGGGGCATAGGCTCAAGCAATGTATCGAAAAAGATGGTAGTCACATCAAAAAAAAAGACTAATATGAACGTTACTTCTCTTGTGCTAATTATTATGAAGCGTCCTTAGCAACCCTGGCCAAATAGGAAAAAAAATCAATGAAACGGTACATGATTGTATAAGAAAACAAAATGTTGTAAAATCTTGCCTAGATCCTATTTGAAAGAAAATCTTATATAAATTTAAGTTTAATCTAACATTTTCACCAGGTACCTTTAACCTCTATACAAGACACACGTACATTCTCACACTCACATTCATGTGCATAGTTCGCAATTTTGCATCTTGGGGATCATGGATTGCAGATCACGAATGCTTTTACATGCTCACATTGCCATGCTTTTCATGACACACACACACACACACATCTACCACTACCATACATAATATCATTTTTTACAAACTATATATCGGAAAATGAGAATGTTCCCATCATGCTTGCCAATAATCTATTTTATCTGTTATCCTTCTAATGTTCTTTTTATTAAATAGAATAATTCGTAATCCTAATCGTTAGATATTGTTATGGATTAAATTGGAAGAATGTTGGGAAAAGATGTAATTATTATTATTTAATATTTAATGTTATTTGCTGCGAGCCTAAAGCCTTTTTATCGTCTGTTCAAAATATTAATTGAATGGCGGAATTTCAATTGATATTTATCTAATAAAATTTTTATGGTAATAATCCATGAGACAAGTCATTTCGAATGGAAAATAGAGGAGATGGAAAGAGAGAACGTATGGATTAATGAATTATTGTTATATTTTCGCGACGAATTCAAACAAGAGCTAGATGACGAAGAGAAATATGAAAAATTCAGATCATACGCAATCAAAGAACAAATCATTGATATAGATGAATTTGATAAAGAAAATAATGAAAAGAACTTTAAATATATATTTGAAAATTATATTATTCAATCAAAAACTAAAGAAATTGTATTGATTTTAAATTCAATTCATAGTCCACTTCAAACAAGAATTTGTAATTTAAGCAAAGATTTATTAGTTGAAAGACAAAAAGAGGTGAAAAGATTGTTTGAAAACCGTACAACAACCAGTGGTTTTCAATTTTCTTTTCAAGCTAAACGTAATTTCAACTTGAATATTCAAAATGATTACCTATTGGATGAAAATGATTTTATTCATCGGGGATTATTCGAAAAGAATAAAATACTATTTAGAGGAGATGCAGGTATAGGAAAAACTTATCATGCAATGAAAATTCTATATAAATGGGCTTATGACAAAACGTTTCTTCAAGATTACATTCTACTTTACGTCAATCTTGCCAATGTAAAAGATAATTGCCAATATAGCGATATAATCTACGATCAAAACTTTAGCAAAGAATCTTGGGTAAAGAAATGTCTTATCAATTTTTATCTATCGGATAAATGCGATGAAAATCCAAAACGAATAATTCTACTTTTAGATGATACCGATAAATTTTCAATTGAAAATTCCAAATTTTCTCATCTTTTTCAAAATATTAATGAAAATAACATGAAAATTATTATTTGGTCGAGAAAATGGAAATTCATTTCTCACCTTCAAACATTTGACCTAATTTTTGATATTCAAAAAATTAATAATAATCAACTATTTCATTATTTCAATCAAGAAACAAATTCAATAGAATTATGGAATTTTCTACAAAATGATACAGATTTATTGGAAATATGTAAAAATCCATTCTTTTTGCAGTTGATGAATAAAATCTGGAATAATAATGAAATTATCAATAAAAAGTTATCATTCTATAGCGAAGCAGTTGAAGAATTGTTTAAAAAACAGAATTTACTAATAGACAGTTCAATTAAGGAAAATTATATAAGAGATTGTTCAATAATGGCTTTAAACTCTTTAATCTCGGATAATCCCATTCCAATTAACAATATTATAGAAGAATCTATGTATTTGTGGGGATTATTAACAATTTTAAAAGATCCAATAAAGATGAAAGATAAGAATCAAGTAGATTTTCTACACGTTTCATTTAAAGAATATCTCATTGCGCAATATATTATTGATATTTTTCAGCAGAAAAATGAAGTTGAATTATTGAAAAAATCTCTGCAAAACTATAAAAATTGTTTTCTATTAAAAAATACTTTTCAATTTATTAAAGAAATGAATATTCATGTATTTCTCCAATTGGAAAAGTCTTTTTCGAATATTTCATTAGTAATGGAAATTGATGAGAGAATTTTCAACATTATCAGAGAGAAATCTACGAATGTTGTTGCCTTAAAGAATGTTAAAATAATACCAACAATATGGCCGATTGTTGTGAATATTTGTAAAAATATTTCAATTATAGATTTTACTGATGTTGAAATAGACTTTTCAGATTTTATTCAATCCGGATTAAATATTAAAGATACTCTTAAAGTATTGAAGGTTAATGGATGTTTTAATGGAGAAAATGATGGAAATATTCTGGAAACTTTAATTAATACATTTGAACAATTAGAAATATTGATTTTGATTAATATTCAACTCGAAACGACAGATTTGAATGATGTGAATATTAAATTGGAAAAATTAATGGAATTAACAATACAAGATTGTCAAATTAATGAAATTGAAAATGAAGAATTTCTATTATGTCCAAATTTAATTTCTATAAATATTATAAATAATCCAATTACACGTAAGTCTTCAATTCAATTTTTTGCGTGTTTTGAACGCTATCAAACTTCTTATCTTCATTTATTTTTCAGTTGAAACTTTAAAGATTCTCTTGGAAATTCTAGAAATGAGTTACAATTTAGAAAGATTGAACGTATCCAATTGTAATCTTTCAATCTATTCAGATTGTAATTTTGAAAAATTCATTAAATGCCATAAACAACTTACCGAAATTGATTTGTCAGGGAATTTCTTTTGTAAACAATACGAAATAGACATTTTAGAAGAGTTCAACAATTCGAGAGAAAGTCAACTTAAAAGCTTTAAAATGAATAATTGTAAAGTTATCTTTCAATCTCAATTATTAATTGAATTCCTTCGATGCAATAGAAATATTGAAATTCTCGAATTATATGGAAATACAATTGTTGAAAATTGCAATTTTCATCTAATTCAACAACTTTTTTTAGACGAAAATATAAAAGTGTTGAAATTACCTAAAATTCAACTTGAAAATTATAATACATTTTTATCAGACAAGGATAAAGAACTTTTGGAAAAGTTTGATAGAAAAATCAATTTAACAACATTAGGTTTTGAAAGGGAATGCGATAATAATGAATTAATGATTTTTGCCCTTAAAATGCTTATAATTTCTTCTGCAAACTTGCGAGAAATCTGTACAGAAGAGGAAATATTTAATGGAGAAAGGTTAACACCATTCGTTCAGTCTATACTATCCTATCAACTACCTATGAAGGAGGGTAAAGATTCATTCTCCGAGGAAAATCTTCCCAGTCAACATCGTCAAGTATCTGAAGATCCGAAAGACTTGTACGGTTTTTAATAGAACTATACTGTTCATATTAAATAAAGCTATTATACAAAACGAAAGTAGAAAGTAGAGCTCTTTTCTTTCTTTCGTCTTTTTTTGTCATACTGATTTATTTTCGTATAAGAAAGAATCAATAAATATTTTTTTCTTCTATCGTCCATTTTTCACTATGGCTAATGTTATTAATAATGAGAAAGTAAGCGTTTTTTGCAATTATTGCCTAAAGAAGTTTGTTTTTCAAGTTGAATGCAAACAACACGTATATTGCTGCGAGTGTCTTAGTGAATCGAATGATTCGCAGCTGGAATTAATGTGCTCTCTTTGCCGACTACAACGTTCTCTTAACGATAAAGTAATTGGCAATATAAAGGTTGATCTATCCAATTCTTCTACAAATAAACTGGTAAATAATAGAGCTATATGTAAAAATCATGAAAATGGATTGATATATTGCTGTGAAAGTTGCTATATGGAAAATACTGATCAATCAACTCCTCATAGGGAAACTACTGCAATAGATGATGTTTCTATTGAAATAAATAAAAGGAAAAAGAATAGAGAATTGATTGAAAATCAATTAAGAATTGAAAGTGAATCTTTAAAGATCACTTTAGCAGAAATTGAAATGTCGAAAAGAGAATTATTAAGGACATTTCAAAAGAAATTTGAAGATATAAAAATTAATGCAAGAATGATCTTTGCTCAAAGGAACACCGATTTAAATTTACTTTTAATTGATAAAAAGTTTTGTAGAGATGAAACTGAATTGAAAAATCATCTTTCCAAGCATTTCAATAGCAGACCAAAATTTAATATTCTTAGCGATTTCAACATAAATTACCTGTTGGAAAATGAAAGAGATACCATTTTTTTGAAGCAAGATGGCGACACTGGCGGTATTTTATCTCCTAGTTTAAATGTAATTGATAATAAAACGGTTAAACTCAATGATAAAAGATGCAATACATTAAGACTTATAGACTTGAGCTACAATTTATCAATGGGCAATATAGTAGCGAATTTCTCCAATGGTATTCTAAAATCATCAAGAACTTTAAGAGAGATAAATCTTGAAAGATGCTGCTTAACTGAAAGTCAAGTTATGTATATTGGAAAGATACTTGAAAATCATTTACTATTTGAAAAATCTAAATTACTTCAATACGAAAATGAAAGAGAACATTCTTATATATATTCTTTTGAAGATATTAAAGAAATACAATTTTCCTGTTGTTATTTAACAAATGATCACGTTGAAAAGATTGGCAATATCGTTATAATTTGCGAAAATATTCAGAAAGTTGACTTATCTAAAAATGAGAAAATGGGTAATGGATTATCGTCCATTTTACAAGCACTTTTAAAATCGTCCAAATCTTTAAAGCAAATAAATCTATCCATGTGTAGCATGGCCAAAAGTCAGGGAAGAGATCTTGGAAATTTGTTGGAGAAATGTTCAAATATTGAAAATATTGATTTGTCATGGAATACCAGTTTGGCGGAGGAATGGATAGCCATTTTTAAAGGATTAAGAGCATCTTCTAGTACTTTGAAAGAGGTGAATCTATCTTCGTGTTCATTGGACGAAAAATACGGTAAATTTATTGGAGAAGTGTTGAACGATTGTAATAATATAGAAGAAATTAATTTATCTTGGAATAAAGAAATGAAAAGTCAATTATCATTTATTCTTAATTGTCTTTCGAAATCTTCCAATACTTTAAAAGTAGTTGATATCTCTTGGAATTATCTTCTTGAAGAGCATGGAAACTCGATAGGAGAGATATTTCAACAATATTCCAACATTCAAGTAATAAATTTATCCGGAAATAAACAGTTGGAAAATGGTTGGTCAGCCATTTGTAATGGATTATTAAAAAGTGTAAATTGTTTAAGAGATATTGACATTTCTAGTTGCGAATTGGGTGAAAATTGTGGACGATCTATTGGAAATCTGTTGGAAAATTGCTCAAATGTAGAAATATTCAATATATCTTGGAATAAACACTTGGATAACGATTTATTAGCTATATGTAAAGGTCTGGTTAACTCTGCCAACACTTTAACCGACATTGATTTTCAATACTGCTATTTAACTGAAAGTCAAGGAAATATTATTGGAAATATGCTCAACAGTTGTACTAATCTAAATACAGTTGATTTTTCCAGTAATATACATGTGGGTAGAGGATTATCAAGAATTTGCGATGGATTACTTCAATCATCGAATACTTTAACAAGTATTTCCCTTAACATGTGTAATATTAAAGAAGATGTGGCGTATTCTATTGCAAATTTACTTCAGAAATGTTCGAAAATTGAGATTTTAGCTTTATCTCGTAATTATAAAATGGGTAATGGCTTTTTAAGCATTTGCGATAGTCTTCTTAAATCTACTGAATCTTTGAAGGAAATTCATTTTAGTTGGTGTTTTTTAACTGAAAAACAAGCAAATACACTTGGAAAAACTTTAGAATATTTTCAAAATATATCCAAAGTCAACCTTTCCGGAAATAAGAAACTATTAGATGAGTTACAAACAATATTTAATGGTTTGAGCAAATGTTATGAAACTCTACAGGAGATTAATTTATCAAAATGCAACTTGGATGAACAGCAATGCGTGTATTTGGGTGATATGATTGCAAAATGTTCGAATATACATAAAATGAATTTATCCGAAAATATGTCAATGGGAAATGGATTGTCGAACATTTGTAAATCATTTTCTAAATCCTCGCAAACATTCAAAGAAATTCTATTATCGTCTTGCAAACTAACAGAAGACGACGGTAAAAGTGTTGGCCAATTGATAACGACTTGTCCAAAATTGGAAAAAATAGATTTATCTAATAATCCCGCAATGGGAGAAGGATTATCTACAATTTGTAAAGATTATATAAAGTCAACTACGACTTTGTCGGATGGTAATGAAAATAGAAATGCCAATTTAACATATCTAACGTGGCAATGAAATAACAAAACTCTATTTAACTTCACAATCAATAGCAACGTTCCTTAAAAAGTATCTTTCCCTTTACCTGTAACTCCTATTGTTGATGAACAGCATTTAGTGCAGAATCACATAGATTAATTAACCAATATCATGAAAATGTTAATAGAATATGGAGTATCTGTTGATTGAGCAATAAAATAATTTACAACTGTAACACTCTGCCATTATTTTCTTTCTAACGCGTCAGCTCTAACCATCGGTGCCTTTCCTGCATGTGCAGGTGTTGTTGTTGTTGTTGTTGTGGAGAATTATTAGTTGTGATGTCCGGATTAAGTATCAATTGTCTCTTATGAGCTCCTTTGCATACATTGTTTGGCACCTGTTGCATTGCCCTTATGAGGAGTACACTTAGTCATTTCATTCATTTGCTGGCGTAATCTCTTCAGACTGTTCTTCCTAATAATTCCTAAATCATAGCTAATGTTGAACTTTTCTATCACCTAATAAAGGCCTAGACAAACCCCAGGTATGGGTTAGGCCTACAATTTGAATTGAAGAATTGTGTAATCTCAAATTTTCCATTGAAATTGGCTTTAAATACATTCATACAATTCTCTGTAGGAGGGAGTTTTATTTTAATATCTTCAGCCACTTATGTTCAGTATTATAGATTGTATCTCAATATTTACCAGTTTTCTTCGATCTTTTAACGCCCTTCAACACTTTGCCATTCTATGACAGGCAGCTATTGGTTATAGCTACGACGAAAACATTGCCATTTTTTTGGATATAAGCGCTTGTTATTAGTTATTACAGTACTTATAAACCGGAAGTGTCAAAAATGGATGGAATATTTTTAAGATATCATTATGATAAGATGGAAAGCGTGTTGGGAGAAGATTTAAAATTTCAACTACATTTAAAGAAGTGTGGTATCGTTCCAAGTGATATTCCTTCCCCTTCGAAGGATTTTCAAACGTTGTTCAATGAATATATAGTTAAGAGCCAAATTTCAACAATAGTTGATATTTTATACGAAATGAATAAATCGAAATACGAAACATTGGCGAACGATATGACAAATACTTGGAATTCTTTAATAGACGACTGCAAAAAACAGGTACGAAATAAATTGGCTAAAATTCAAAAGTTTGCCTTTTTTAAAGCGAATTCAGCTTATGTTAAATTTGAAGAGATATCAACGTCAATTCAATTGGCATCCTATAATTTGTCATTGGGCGATAGCAATGATCTATTCTACGATGAACGTGAATTTCTGGAAACTATAAACAAAGGGTGTAGTGAGAGGATATTGATTTGCGGAGATGCTGGTATTGGTAAAACTTTTCACTCTTTAAAACTATTATACTTGTGGGCTTGTAAAAATGAATTATTACAAGATTATCTAGTACTTTACGTTAATCTTGGAGATATACAAAGTAACGATAGTTTTGAATCAGTTCTATTCAATACAAACTTTTCAAAAGATTCACCAATAACTAAACAACTACTCGCCTACTATTTATCGGAACAATGCAAGGATAAAAAGAGAAGAATACTATTACTGTTAGATGGCGCTGATGAGTTAAAATTTAAAAATTCCTATTTTAATTCTATAATAAATGGAGATAAGAGATTAAAAGTTGACTTTTCAGTTATTGTTTGGTCTAGAAAATGGAGAATAAAGTCGATTATGCATACTTTTGATTCTTGTTTTGAAATTAAAGGTTTTAGCACAGTTCAATTACTTGAATTTTTTCAAAATTATTTCAACGAAACAAACATTGACAATACATCAAAAGCTACTTCGAAACAGACAGAGGAAAATGATGATTCAGCAAGAACAACTAATTATAAAAGTAATAGAAAATCTAAAATTTTATGGAACTTTTTAAATGTTGAAAAGAAACATATTATTGAATTGTGTAAAAATCCACTTTTTGCCTGTTTAACGGCAGGTATTTGGGATGAGAAACAAAATAAAATTCATAATAATGAATCATCGATCTATAAAGAAGCGGTTGAGGTACTCTTTTCCATTAAAGGCTTATCAATAAACCATCCTAATTACAAGAAATTCTACGACCAATGTTCAAAATTGGCATTTGAAAATTTACTTTTTAACACACCAATCGTAATAAATGATATTCAACTGGATTCTGAATTATTTGCTGGTATAATAATTCCATTAGACGAAAGACAGGAGAATAAAGAAGAAATCAACAAGTATAAATTCATTCATTTCCTATTTCAAGAGTATTTTACAGCTCAATATATTATTGAACAATTCAATAACGAAATGAATGATAACAACGATTATTCAAACAATTCAATTTCAATGATTATAAGAGATTTTAAAAATCTATTCCTATTAAAGAACGTTTTGATTTTTATTAGGGAAATTAATGATAGAATCTTTTCGGAAATTGCTAAAATTAGAGATGATACATTCCTTGTTCTAGAATCGGAAGAAATTTATAAACTTATCCGATGTAGGCCTAATGTAATTAATTTAAAAAATATTTCACTTTCAACAGTTACGTGGAAAACAATTATATATATTTATAATGCAAATATAACGGATATCAATTTTAAATATGTAAAATTTCAATTTCAACAATTGTTGAATTTATGTTCAGAACATTTGAAAAATTCACTTAAAGTATTAAAAATTCAATACGTCGCTGATGAAGAAGAAGAAGATCTTTGCACTATTGAAAATACTATTGAAAATTTATTAAAACTAGAGATTTTACATTTAAAAGATGTACCTTTTAAAAAGTCAATTAATTCACCTATAGAATTGGTTAGCGTTTTATTAATTGATTTTCAAATGAATAATTGTAATATTCGATGTTTTGGTAATGACAAAATCAACTTTACATGCCCTAATATTAAAAGAATTGATCTAACAAGAAATGATTTTAATGGTAAGTTCAATTAGCCCTATACGCCGTTTAATATAATATTTCGCCTCTTTTTTTTTCTTTTAACTAGAATCAACTTTAAAGATATTATTTGAAATGTTAGAATTTAGTTCAGATATTGAAAGTATTAATATTTCATATTGTGGATTAGAATTAAATGATTTTTCCATATTTCAACATTTTCTTTTATTTCATCAAAATCTTTCAACAATTGATATTTCAGGAACAAACTTTTTAAATCAATCTGGTTGCCAATTTCTAAATATTCTTACTAAGAGTAATTTAAAAATTACTTCATTAAAATTGAACGATTGTAATCTTACCTTTCAAGTTGAACGTCTAGTTGAATCGCTTCAAACCGAATTAATTCATATTGAAACATTAGAATTAAAAGGTAATAAAGTTAACGAAAATCGACAAATGAACTTTTTAAAACAACTTTTAGTGATGAAATGTTTAAAAAATTTAAAATTACCTTTTCTTGTATTTTCTTTTCAAGATTTCTCTTTTCCTACAAACATTTTTCAACAGTTTGAAGTAAAATTAAATTTAAAATCATTGGATTTTGGAAGAAATTCCCTACAAAATCAATTAGTGGAATTATTCTCCAAATTGTTGAAATTTTCAACAAATTTGCAACAGTTGAATATGGATTGTTGCTTCTCGGAGAATGGTGAATTAAATAGCATTTTAAATGGACTTTTTCTAAATGAAATACCGGAAGAGAAATATTCAGATTTATCATTTTCTATCGATGACGATTCAGAGATTACTGAAACGTATCAAGAAAGAAATTTGAATGAATTTAAATTGAGTTGTTGCAACTGTAAAGCGAATTCTGAAAGTTTAGAGATTATCTTTAAGAAAAGGCTATTGTTATCAGTCAATCTTTCCGGCAATGTATTACCGTCTATTGAAGAGACTTTAACTTCTTTGGCAAAGACGACTTTTACTCTACAATACATAAAGATACTTTTATTAAGAGATTGCGGTTTAAATGAATTTTTCCTCAATACTTTAACGGAACAATTAAAAAATCTTCTTTCTCTGCAAAGATTAGATATTTCTAGAAATCAATTTTCAAGAATTTCAACAAGAAAGTTCCTAATGGAATTGGCTAAAAATAAACAAAAGAATCTTACACATCTCTACATGTACGAATGTAATCTACCTTTAAACTATCTTGTTATACTTTCCCTATTAATTACGAAAATTAAAACTCTACACGAATTCAATTCACCTATTTCGATTATTCGTAAAACGACAATTGAAAAAGACAATTTGGAAAATGAATTAAATTCAAAATCATTCAATTTATCAACTGCAAAGCAAATTGCCGAAGATTTTGATAATATTTTAAATGATAGATTCTTCGATTCGTGCTTCAATGGGAATCTTCCTTTAGGCGTTATAATTGAAATATTAATTAGCGCAAATTATCGCCTACGTCATATTTCTATTGTTAATATCCTCTTGGAAAATGATAAGAAATACATAGAAAAATTGCTGACTGAAAAAACTGTAATTAAAACACTTAACGTAAGAGAACAGAAGTTTGAAGATGATGAGAAATTTCTTGAAAATATCCTCAATTTTATAGATAAGAATAGCTCTTATTTAGAATATATTGAATTTGGAATGTGTACACTTAGCAAAGGAATTGATTGTAATTCAATGTCATTGATCGGAATGCAAAACAAATTGTCATTACTTCATTTCTTCGATATTAATCTAAATGATACAATTGCTAGTAAAATATGTGAAAATTTAAGTAAATATTGCAGTAAAATTACTAAATTAACATTTAGTCGTTGCGGTTTAACTAGTAATATTGGAACTATACTAGGAGAAGCTATTGGAAAACAAACTAAACTGGTAGTACTTAACCTGCAAAATAATCAACTTGGAAATAAAGTTGGAAAATGTATCTTTGATAATATTAAAGAAAATTGTCGTAATCTTACAGTTATGGGATTTGGTAATTGTTCATTTACTCATGAAATTGGCGATTGTATTGCGAAATGTTTAGAAAATTTGGAAAATCTTCAAGACATTCAATTTTGGGATAATAATTTACAAACATCAATTGGAAGGGATATCTTTCAAGCAATTCTCAATGGAAATTGTCGAAATATAACTAAAATTGGTTTTAGTAATTGCGGTTTTACAGAAGAAATTGGAAATGTTGTTGGTCAAGTAATTGGACGGCAAAAAAATTTGTCATTTTTAAATTTTCACAAGAATCCAATTGGAAATGAAATTGGTGAAAATATCTTTGAAAATATTTATGAAAATTGTAAATATATTGAAGAAATGTATTTTGGTACTTGTAATTTTACATCAGATATTGGAGATTGTTTATCTAAAGCGATTGGTAGGCAAAGATTGTTAAAATCTATGAATTTTCAAAATAATCCACTTGGTAATGATATTGGAAAGAATATATTTGATTGTTTGAATAGAAATTGTCATAGATTAACAGTTTTGGGTTTTGGTAATTGTAATTTTTCCAATGGTATTGGAAACGTTTTAGGTGACGCTGTTGGTAAACAGAATAATCTTACTGAAATTCAATTTTGGGATAATAATTTAGGTGATGAAACCGGAAGGAATCTATTTGAAAATATCAAATTAAATTGTCGTAATATTAAGGTAATGGGTTTCGATAGTTGCGGCTTTACGTCGGCAATAGGAGATTGTCTTTGCGATGCAATTGGAATGCAAAAATCTCTTATAGAAATTCATTTATCGAATAATAGTTTGGGAAATAAGGTTGGCGATAATATCTTTAGAAATATTATTAATAATAAATGTACTCGTCTGCAAATTGTGAATCTTATTAATTGCGGTTTTGACGATAAAATAAATGGAAATATGCTCGGTAGGGCAATTGGAAAACAACGAAATCTTTGTGAACTAGGATTATGTTTCAATCCTTTAGGAAGTACTATTGGAAAAAGTCTATTTAAAAGTATTAGTGAAAATTGTCATAATTTAACATTCATTGGATTAAATGGCTGTAATTTTAATGAAGAAATTGGTAGTCTTTTACCTTGCGCAATCGGTAAACAAAAACAATTGAAAACCATTTCATTAAGTTTAAACGACTTTAAAGATGAAATTGGAAGGAAAATATTTGAAAATATTGAACGAAATTGCCGTAATCTTACTACAGTTGCCTTTGCAAAATGTGGTTTTACTAGTCAAATCGGTAGTATCGTTGGAAAGGCGATTGGAAGACAAAAATATCTGGAAAATTTACTTTTACGTTCCGATGAAATTGGAGACGATGTTGCCAGAGAAATATTTGTTAATATTAGAGATAATTGTACAAATATTACTACATTAATAATGAAGGACATTGGTGTTACGAATAGGATAGAAACAGCTATTGGCGAAGCGATTTCTAAACAAACGAATCTATTGAATATTGATCTTTCCAGCAATCCGTTAACTAGTACTGTTGGAAGGAATATCTTTGAAAGTATCTATAAAAATTGCCATTTAATTTATAGAATGCACTTTGACGATTGTTGCTTTAACCACGAAATTGGAGATATTGTTGGTAAGATGATTGGAAAACTTGAAAATCTAAGTACACTGTGGTTAGAGCATAATAGTTTAGGTGGAGATGTTGGAAGAGTTATGTTTGAAAATATGAAATTATCGTGCAAAAAACTCGTCGAAATCTATCTAAGTGATTGTCATTTAACGTCTAAAGTTGGAAATTTACTTGGCGAATCGTTCGGTAGACAAAAATACCTTTCAATTATATTAATTAAAGGTAATTGTTTAGGAAATGAAGTTGGCAGAGTTCTTTTTCAAAATCTAAGAGATAATTGTTGTCATATTAAGAAAATGGGTTTGGGTAAATGTAATTTTACTGATGAAATTGGTCAAGTTCTACCACAAGCTATTGGAAAGCAAAAATACCTTCAAGTACTATCGCTTGAACACAATCAACTTGGAGATGAAATGGGGAAAAGTATACTTAAGGAAATTGAAGAAAATTGTGAAAATATCACTGAAATTTACTTTTCCCATTGTAATTTTACATCGGAAATTGGGTTTATTATTGGTAAGATAATTGAAAAATGTAAACATCTATCCGTTCTGTCATTCCGAGGTAATCAACTACGTAATGAAATTGGAAGAGATATCTTTCAAAATATATACAAACATTGCCGCTATTTAAAATTGATTAATTTTGAATATTGCGGTTTTACAGTAGAAATTGGAGATATTATTAATAAAGCAGTAATGGTGCAGCCAAATTTAAAAATTCTCAAATTACACGATCCCTTCTACGGAGAATCGCATGAAGAATTTATTAAAAATGTATTAAAACCAATTTCAATATAACGCTTTAAAAGATTTCAAATCGAATTTTTTAGGCCTAACGTAACCATTCAATATTATCTGTATACAGTATGTGGTTTTTATAGGTTTTTATCTTGGTTATACAAATGTCCAGGTCAGTCGAGGGAAAAACAATGTAGAATGATCTCACGAGATTGAACACTTTTTTGCATAATCCTGTATTTTTATACTAACTATTTGCATAGAACATTATTTATAAAAGCTGAGAGAATGACGTCAAATTCAAGGGAATTGAACAATGATTATTTACGTTTTGGAACTAGTAGGAGAATCGAAAGGCAATATAGAATATTTGTAAATATTGCTGCTCAATCATTGAAGGAGATGACATTTTCTCTAAGAAGAACAATTGGATATAGATCTGAGCTATTTTATAGCAATATCTACATTTATTCTCGCTCTTTATGGCTATACTGTTGAAGTATTGGAAAAGTATAGATATCAATTAAGAATTCAGCTATTAACCTCATTCCTTTCGCTCTTATTACATAATTACTGTATCTTTTTGAAATCTGTTTTTTCCTGTCCAAACAACTTCTTAATGTTTTGAAAAGGCCGTTTTACTTTTATTTATGTTTGTCAAAACAGCAAAGATATACGGCTTACAGTCTAAAATGCCTTCATCAATTGATCAGTCAAGAAATCCTTCAAATGTTTGTCATCTATTTTGGTGTTGTATATATTTATAAGAGGAGTATGAATAGCTATGATTTATTGTATTTTTCATACGACAATATTGACATTTCTTTCAATATTCACTTGTTCCCTTTGCTAGGGATACTTTGGCTTTTATACGCGGATATGGACCGTTATGTTCTTTACTTTTCAAATAGCAAAATTGTCGCTTATATTTTCCAAGTTGTAACATTTATAATATGCTATAATGACCGATATGAAAACGCTCTCTTTATCTTAATTACGCTTTGTCTACTTCATTTTCATATTCATCAGTTTATTGTGTTCTTATCAAGGCTTCTTTATCAATTCTTATTGACAAATATTAAGATTGTTTATGATAAATTATTCCCTTCTCCTTTCAATCATGAATACTTGGAGGAAAGTCAAAGGAATTTGAAATATCTTGATGACATTATGAAAAACAACGGAATTAAACCGCATGCGCTAAGAATTCATAAATAAATAGAAAAGTGAAGAGAGAGAGAGAGAGAACTTTAATGTAGGGCTTTACGGCACTTCAAATCAAAATTATACGCCTATTATAACCATCCAATGCTATCAAGTGGTTATTACAGGTATATATTTAGTTATAGAAACGTCCAGTTCAGTAGGAATAAAACAACGTAAAATGATCCCACCACCAGTTTCATTGTTTTGTATAGCAATGTATGTTTATTCTAAATCTTTGGATAGCACATTATTTACGAAAATTGAGAGAACGACGTCAAATTCAAGTGAATTGAAAGAGGAATATGTAAATTTTCAAATTAGTAAAAGAGTCCAAAAGGAAAATAGAATATTTGTAAATATTGCTGCTCAATCATTGAAGGAGATGACATTTTCTCTAAGAAGAACAATTGGCGAAAGTCAAACGTCAGTTTTGAACGATCGATGGACTGATTTTATTAACTCGAAGAGAGAATTTGACGTAGAAATTGAAGAACATAATTGCTCAACTAGTACAGACATTTGCGACGTTCAATCTCAAATCAGCTATGTTCTATATCCAGATAAAAAGAATCACTTGATTAATAAGCCAATAATAATAGATTCGTACACTGAGGAATCTGCGGAATCATTGGACGAATGGTTGAATATTTTAATGAGTAATCGTTTAAAGATCATTGTATTTATTGATTCTGTTGAAGATTTCAATGTTTTTCGTTCAGTAAGTGAAGCTAAAACGTTATCAGTTACATCCGACTACTCTTCCAGTCTACAATTTGAATATTTAAATAGTCTTCAGTATAGTATTTATGGGATTATTTATTCAGGAGCAACGATTGGCCGACAAATAAGAAGTGAATATCTACCGTACGAAACGGATGTTGATTACGTAGTAAGAGGATATCATCCAAATAAAACGGATATAGATCTTTGTTATTTCATATTAATATTTCTATTTATTAAACATTTGTATAGATGTACTGTTGGGGTGTTGGTGAAATATGGATTTCGTCTAAAATTCTATTTATTATTTAATATTTTAAAAATGATATCTGTCTATTTATCAATCAAGTTTGTCCATTCTTATTTCACCAACAATATCAATTTAGTATATTTCTCACATTTCGGATATTCAACTTGCACCAGAGATTACATCTTGGCTTGTATTAGCTTTTACGCGTGTGGTATGCTTTACTTTTTCCCTATAATACCATTTAAGATAGCAAAATTTATTTACTATTCCATTTTTATTGCTCTAATATTTTGTCGATTCACCATGGTTGTTTATCACTTGGCGTCATTTATTATTTTTGACTTGACTGCTGACCTTGTTTTTATATTCGGTTTGAGACTTTTCAAGCTAATTCTTACTGCTCTAAAAAAGCATCTCTACTTTTATTTATGTTTGTCAAAACAACAAAGATATACGGCTTATAGTCTACAATGCCTTAATCAATTGATAAGTGAAGAAATCCTTCAAACGCTAACGGAGTACAATAAAATACAGCTACTTTCAGAATATGGACGAGAATACGTTTGTCAAGTTTATAAGGATAGATCGAGTGCCGGCATACACCATATAGAATGCCAAAGTGACAAATATAGGCCAATTTTAAGGGGAATTCAAGGGGAATATGTCCAATTCTACACTCGGAAAGGTATTGTAAACAGAATGGGTACTTGCAAACTTTGTAACTATGAGCAGAATGATAGAGAACATTCAACTCAACTACTTTGCGATCATATTTATCATAATAATTGCTTAACAAAATTAGTAAAGAGTGGTATGATGAGATGTGTATTATGTAAAATTCCATTCGATAAGATCTATATGCCGAGTTAAATTCATTCAATTTAGTATTTGCATATTTTTTATATCTATAATAAATATTTTTGTCACAATAATTCGGTGTTTTTCTTTAAATTATTCTTATTCAAAATTTTTACATTAGACGCTTTTAAATGTTTTACTTTCAACTACTTTCGAAGTAAAACGTTCAAATACGATTTAGTAGTTATTTCTAATAATAGTTAAAATGACGACTATCAGTGGTTATTCTACTTATATTACTGTGGTTATTGTATGTATCGAAAGTATAAAACACTATTCAATTATTTAACATGAACTTTCTTATGGTGATCTTCTCTCTTTTTAATATCTTTGTCTACAATTATCTCCATATAGTAACTTATCAATCCACTAACGGATCATACAACCAATCGAACCCTTCTCAACAGATTTTTAATTTTCATCATCGTAAAAGAATTGAAATAGAAAATAACGTCTATATTCGCCTACCAATTCAATTCTTTAGTGAAAATAGTTTTTCATTAATAAGAATTGTAGGTAATAATCAACGCGACAACAGTTCGCATCTCAATAGACAATGGAACGATTTCATTAGCTTGAATAGTCAATATCCTATCGATATTGAAGAATACAACTATGGAACTAATCTGGAAATTGATAATCTAACCGGCGCCGATGGATCGTCATCCATCGTCTATGTTGTGTACTGGAATAAGGAAAGAAAGTATAAACCATTGCTTATCGGTTCGTATTCAACTGATTCTTCGCAATCGATTGATGAATGGTTAGATGATTTAACGAATAATCGTCTGAAAATCATGCTATTTATTCAATCAATTAATGATTTTAAACATTTCTCTTCTTCAATCGTTCAAACTAGAACACTGATTGTTAAGTCAGATTATTCTTCATATCTTCCAATTCAACAATTGAATTCATTTCGCTGCGGTATTTTCGGAATTATCAACTCGAATTCATCAGTTGGCCGTGAATTGATAAGAGATTATCTACCGGTGGAAAGAAAAGATGTTGAATATATTATTGACAAGAGAACTACTCGTAAATTAGATGAAGATTATATAACTATCATTTTTTCCTTCATCATTTTGGTGGCTATTCATCTACATCTTTCATTTAAGATGCCTAACATTCTTCATCCGTGGTTCTACATGTCGTTACATTCGGTGTTTGTCATCTATTTTGGTGTTGTATATATTTATAAGAGGAGTATGAATAGCTATGATTTATTGTATTTTTCATACGACAATATTGACATTTCTTTCAATATTCACTTGTTCCCTTTGCTGGGTTTGTTTTGGCTTTTATACGCAGATATGGATCATTATGTTGAAAAGATTTTAAGTAATAGCATGATAAAGAGACTTGACTATTTATTCACAACTTTAATATTTGTTCTATATTTTACTATATCGCGTCAAAACATTGTCTTTATCCTGATTGTGCTATCTCTACTCCATTTTCACATTCATCAATTGTTTGCAAGTTTGTCCTATTTTCTTCATATCGTATGGACATTAATCCGTCAATTACGTTCTCTTTTGCCTTATTCTTTTCGAAGCTACGTTGAAAGTGAAAAAAATTTGAATAACCTTTATGAAATTATGAAAAACAACGGAATTAAACCGTTACCTGAAGACAAAATGAAACAGCTGGTTAACGATAATGAAAACATTTTTAATCAATCAGTTGACGAGCTACAATTATCTACGGCACAAATAATGACGTTAATTGAAGCGGCAGAAAGGTATAGGCCTGTTGAGTTAGTGTTTGAAGAAAATATAAAACTTTACGCCCAAAAGGAAATAACTAGAGTGAATTTTGAGAAGAATGATATCTGTTCAATTTGTCATGAGAGGCATACACTTCTGCAATCTATTCAGTTATGTTGTGATCATATTTTTCATATTACCTGTATTGTAAATGTAAAGAAGTATGGAAGAAATGTGTGTCCTTTGTGCCAGACGAGATTTGATATAATAACTGTATAGCTTAATGGAATGTCTACAACCCGTTGTTGTTATTACCTTTTGTGTGCTAATTAAATATGCTTATTGAGTTTTTTGAATGTGTAGATTCATTTTGTAAATGAAGAATGTATACAATAGTCTTGTAAGGTAGGAACAACGTCATAATCCTCTCAACTTATCATTCTTGAAATTGTGTAAATCAGCTTTGTTCTTAATGTCAATACGCAAGAGAGCGGAAGTATAAACACGCGCATGCGCTAAGAATTGATTAATAAATAGAAAAGTGAGGATAGAGAGAGAGACAGAGAGAGAGAGAGAGAAAGAGAGAGAGAAAAGGACTCTAAATCATGGACACACCAAATTAAATTGAGATTAGAATAGATTTTGAAAATGTTAATGATTTGTTTCGAATGGTGTTTTTTTTATTAAATATGTCTGTTTATTGTTTACAACAAATATGTCTGAAGATAATTAATAGAAATATTCCATTACTGCTTGAATTGAAAGAGAGAAATAGTATCAAATTACCTTTTGGTATCTATAAAACCCTATTCAATTATATATCAAACTGCAAGAAATCTTTGAATGAAGATGACGTGAAATTCTTTATCGGATATTTTCAATGTTCACCCAGTTTGGAATTATTTCAATATCAATTTCAAAATATTAATAATTTAAGTTTCCTACAAGGAAATCGTCTAACAAATTTATCTCTAAATGGATTCAATAATTTTGAAAAACTTGAACTGAATTCTTCAATAAATCAAATTCAAATTCAACAATGTTCACTTGATTTTCATAATTCAATTATTCTAAGTAACCAATTGAAATGTTGCTTTTCCATTGAGATATTCGATTTTGAAATAAACGTTTGCCAACAAGAGATTCCTTTGGAGAAAACTGGTTTGGAAGTGATTTTTCAAGCGTTGAAATTCTCTTGCAATACACTCGTCCATTTTAGATTAAAGTGTAACGTTATCACTGAAAATGAAATGAAAATTTTGGGTAAAATATTAAAATCTTGCCGGAAACTCGAAAGTTTTACATTGGAGATTGATTATACACCGTTCAGAAATTTAAAAACTCATCTACACTATCTAATGAGAGGTATTGAAATATCTTGGTTTAGAAGAAAGTATAGCCTGTACGAAAAATGCCTACTCTACTACCGGAAAAGGAAGATAATTAACGCAATGAACGGCGAAATGAAGATTAACGGTATAAAGTCAATATGTAACGGATTAAAGTCGTCGAATGAAACGTTACATTCATTGGAGATACCGTATTTAAAGATTGATAAGAATTTGAATAGTCTGTTGAAAAGTTGTAAAAGATTAAAGAATCTTACACTAAACACGTTTAGAATCGATAAAAGTAAATTAAAAGTTCTATTGGAAAGTTTAAAATCGTCTTGTAGAACTTTGGAAGTTTTATACTTGAATTTTTCAATTCTATTCAATCAATTACATTTGATTAAAGACTTTTTAACTTGTTGTCTATCGTTAAAAATATTATATCTATCATTCCACGGTGCAAAGAAACTGGATAAACTTCAAACTAAAAATGATATTCTCTTCTCATGTTCGAATCTATTGCGTAACGACTGCAAAATTATTTTAAGGAGAATAAAATTCTTCTCGCCTCCCCAATCCTATCAAACTCTATTGTTTAGGCAATCCAGTTTTGACGATGTTTAAAACTTTCTTTAATAAAATCAATCATTCAACATTTTTGTGAGCGCTTTTCTTTATATTACTGTAATATCAACCACTGATTACGAAAGTGAAAGTAGAAATGGGAGTTAATCAATTTCTATGTATTATGCGTTGTCAGGTGTAATTCAATAATCTGCGGCTATTTAACAAGGCGACAGCTTAATAACGCTAGCATTATTTGCTGAATAGTTTTATTTAGCTAGGACTAGAGAAACGTAGATGGAGCAATTCTTCGGAAGCATTATTAACGCGAACAATGGCAATAACGCGAAAACCAACTTTCAAGTGTTGAAAACTGAACAAGTGCTCACAAATCAAATTAAACATCTATTAGAAGGTATCGAACTTGACGTAATTATCGTCTGCTATTCATCCATTCAAAAGAATTGAACAATGAGAATGGAGAACGCACGGGACTTACTTATAAGTATAAATTTATATCTATATGCGATACATATAAACTAAAACCGGAAATGCGAGTATTCAATAAGGAAATTGAACAAAACACTATCGGAAACTTTGTTCACGTTGATCAGTTATATTTCCTTGAGGATTACAATGACGATACGCTATGGAGAAATGCTGAAAAGTTGAGCAACGATGGAAATGTTCCATATTTATATTTTGCGTTTGGTAGCGATTACAACGTTGCTGTAAAAACGTCTGCAATTCTGGAAAGAAACTATCATGTTCTATGGTTTAAAAATGATAGAGAATCATCAAGTATAATTGATGAATTGTGTGAGAATAAAGATTATTTAGTAACAATTGGCGACGATATAGGAAACACTCTTACGAAATATATCATACGTGTAATTCCATGGAGTAGAATCACTTTTAAAAACAGATCTAATAATTTTGTTGTAGATTGTCGACGGTTCGACTGCAATAGCGATAATATATTAAAAGATAACTTTTGTCCTGAATTGATTATATTATTAAATAATGAGTTTAAAAATGAAATAACCGACGATGCAAAGAGCGAATTGATAGATAATTTAAGAAAACATACAGTTCTACTTTTGACAGATATTCTAACAGAAGAACTGAAGGATTATGGTATTGAATTAGTAAGAACTATCTATAATAAATACACTTCAAATCATTCAGCTATCGTAGGTGGACATGTTCAGATGAGGAAGATTATCTTTACATTAGATGCCGAAGAATTTTATCATTCTACCGACATCCGATGGATGAATAGATCGGAAAATTCAGACGACAACCACATCTATTTATATTTCGATAAGATTTTAATCAACGATATAATTGGACGATTGGTCAATCTATTCGTTGAAAATAAGCGTTTACCGCCAGTTGTAACTTTTCGAGATAACTGTAATATTCCTATAAAAGTTATTGAAACTATAGAAAGGGAAAGCTACTTCTTAGACTTTAAAGTCGATTCAAAATTTAAAACTTACATCTACCGCCTTTTTTTCTTGGAAAACAGTTTCAATTTTCAAGATAACGAAGATAACGAAACGAAAAAAGTATACTATGAAATTGCGCACAAAAAGAGCATCTTAAGATACGCTTTTAGGCAATTGATCAATAAGAATCAATTACCTTTTACCGATAGTTTTGTCCTGTCTTTTCTTTGCAATACGGACACAACTTTAGACTTTATGGCCGAGACGGCGCAGACTATTAAAGAGAATATAAAAGAGACGCTAACCCTTTTTAATCCATGCATTCTTACAAATGGTTTAAATCACGGTCTATCTGAATATATTGGAAATCTGATTGATCAGATGTGTTGTATAGGTATAGTATATAAATCGGAAAATTCACAAACCGGATATATAACTACGAATGAAATAGAAGACGTTAAACCGCACTTGAATCCTAAACATAATTGTTTTCTCTTTGTAAAAGCTTCAATACATGAAGAATTAGAAGAAAATGGTATAGACACATTCATAACTAAAGGAAATTCTAGAGAATGCGTTTCGCTAATACTAGGCGGAGATTTCAATACACTAAAAGAAATTGTCAAGAGAATACAGAGTAAGACAAGAGTTGTTGTTATCGCTAATTCGGGTCATTTAGCCGAATATATATCTATAAGACAAGAAAATCGAAGAGAAGATAACAACAACTTTTATAAAGGTTTGAGTAAATCTGAAAAGACGGATTGCGATAAATATATTGAATTTATATTGAAATCTGAATGGTTAAAAGTTGTTCGATTAGAGAAGAAAGACGATTTGAAAAATGCACTACAATCGTTCGTTTATAACGGTAAAATTAAATTCGACGATGGATGCGAAGGTTCCTATCATAAACTTAAGGGAAACTCTGATATACTTAGAGTTTGTAAGCAATTGTTTGCCGAACAATCTCTTAGGAATACGAATTTACTTATAACGTTCAACAACAGTTGGGAGAATGACGATCTAAGTAGGGAATTTCTGTATAACTTTGAAGAGGCTTTCTATATTGTACTCAAAGATTATTCACCTTTAATCTTGACCGACGGACTACCCAGCGGAATAACTAATATCGTTGTTAAAACGTTAAAGTTAATTGGTGAAAAAAGAATTGAATGCTACGGCATTTTACCATTATCTATTGGAAACGATTGGAATGAACCGGAAGTTCAATTGAATTTTAAAAATAGGCGTTTATGCAATTATCATAGACGCTTTTTCGCCTCAACAGACGATAAAGTTCGGAATATTGAAACTAAATTGCAACTTTGCGAACAGATAAGAAGAGAGTATAGACAGATAAAACCGACCGTGTTGTTATCTATACTTTTTGTAATTGGCGGTAAACTATTCGACGCCATAACAGACGTTTTTACAGCGTCTTTGCGTCGAGAAGAACACAAGATATTTATATTTAAAAATTCTGGAAAATCTTCAACATTCCTCGTAAAATTCTACGAAAGAACGAAAAACCTACAAGAAATCTATAGTCGACGCGAAGAATGGATAAAAGAGTTGAAAGGTGCCGGCATTGAAGACTCCCAATTGGATACATCCTGGAATAACCTGGTTGACATTCACAAGAAACTAGAAGATATTTATACAATCAACTTGATTTCTACAACCGAAAACGAACTAACATTAGCAATCAACGGTATTAATCCGTCAATTAATGAAGATAGGGAAGATTCATTGGAAGAAGCGTTAATCAACGATAACGTTAATCATTTAAAAAAACTACATAACAACGATCAGACGATTATTGAGACAATCTACGTGGACGATCTACTACATTCGTTGTACTACGAAAGGGAGAAATCCGAATTTCTATCCGAAATATTAAGGCATTTCTTACAGTTTCTTTCAACTCCAAACAAAGATATTATTACGGATTCTATCAAAGAAGAAATTACAAATATATCTAGATTATTTCAAGACGATAGCGAAATATTATCGCTAATTGACAATTATCATTCGGCCAAGAAAGAATTCTCGCAATTACTATCGACCATAGAAGATGAACGATCCCAAAAAAAGAAGAGAAAGGAGAAGGGAAGCGCTTACGAATTGAAAAGATTTCAACCTAAAGGACTATTGAGTAAGCGTTGTATTGATAAGCTAAAAAGACTTTTAAAGGTATTACTATCGCCTAAATGCAAAGAACATTACAGATCGGGAATTCATATAGTTGTACATAATGTTAAAACTATACTAGAAATAAACCAAAACCTTTATAAGTGCAGTTTCTTCAAAGCTTTTAAACTAGTCGCCAAACAGTATAATTCAGATTTTGATTTGTACGAAAATAGCTTTCTGGATTGGAAATGCTCGAAGAAAAGATGGATTTTTCTATGGGCAATCGTTAGCGATAAAGCCAAAGTTGCAGATTATTTTTGGGTTAAGGGAGAAAGTTCGATAAGATACGCACTCTTTGCAGTTGGAATTTTAAAATGTTCTTTAAATACTGAAAATGATATTGTACTCTCAACGGAAATGTCTAAAAGACAAGATCTATGGGAGAGGAGAGCTTGCGGAAATCTGGAACATTGTTACGCGTTAAACAGTTCAAAAGGATTTGAAGTTAGCGCTACAAAATCGAAAGAATGGGAAAATAAAAATATGCTCCAACTGGCTAGATCCGTTGAATCGTTAACATTTTTTGAAAATCCTCTCTGCCAAAGATACTTGAATAATAAATGGAAAGGGAGAAGAATATTCCTATCGGCAAGATTAAAGTTTACTATCTATTCGGTAAGTAATTTAATCAGCCTACATCCATTGTATTTCCAGTTTACAGTTGACCACTTTTAAACAGTCTTTCTACATTTTCTTTGTCATGTTATTCTCCTACTTTTACCTTATCGACCTGAAACCTTTGGAGAATGGCTCTCTGCCATTAAGCGAAAAAATCACCTACGCTTGGTTTCTCTATATTCTAATCGAAGAAATCATTCAAGTTTAGTTATTAAAGTCAAGACGATATTGCGCAATAATCAATGTTTTTTTTTTGTTTTTTTGCTTTTTTCCAGTTTATACAAACGGATTCGCCGGGGTTTGTTCATAAATCTCTAGACTATTTCAAAGGCTTTTGGAATATATACGATTGTATAATGTATTGTCTATTTATAATATCGTTTATATTAAGATTTTGTATTGGCGAGGACCTATTTGAATTAACCAGAAGTTTCTTTTGCGTAACGGTGGCGTTGTTCTATATCAGATGTCTGCAATTTTTACTTGCATTCGAAAGATTTGGGCCAAAGATTATCATGATTTTTAAAATGATTATGGACTCTTTTAATATTCTACCTATATTTCTTGTTGCTTTATTATCGTTCGGAGTACCGATTCTAGGACTTTTATATCCTAATTCTCCGTTTAACTTTTGGATTATTAAAGATATTATGTTTATTCCATATTGGCAAATCTACGGAGAATTATTCTTAGAAGAGATTGAAGGAAGTAGCGAACAAGTGTGCAATTCACCGGTTAACAGCAGTGGCCGTTGTCCAAGGAAAACAATACTAGCAATCGTTATTACTGGAGTATACGTGTTTATAACAAACATGATTCTTGTTAATTTACTTATCGCCATGTTTTCTAGCACTTATGATACAATTCAACAGAAAGCCGGAATGTATTATCGATATAGAAATTACGATCTTATCAATGAATTCTATAAGAGAGAGTTTCTCTTCACAATTCCAATCAATTTATTATTACCCTATTGGATTCCTTGCCATTCCAACAACAACAACAATATAAAGGAGATCAATGATAACGACAACGACGATTATGATAAAGCTTTTAGCGGTGGTAAACGTGTCAATCATGAAGAATTCCGCGGTTTATTGAGATATTTGAATAGGAATGAACAGGATATAATTAAGAATGTCATTGACTCCGAAGATCAAAGGAGAGCGTGAAGCATCATTTTCATTCAATTTCTTTCTTTTAACACTCAGAGTTAACCGTGCAGTATTGCGGTATTGCGGTATTGCTGTATGTCACAATAATCTAAACTAAACTACGCAAGCCTTTTTTCACGTAGCGAATACTTATCTTGAATTATTATCGAAAACTAATCTAATTTACTATATGTGATGTCCACAACGTATAAAAAAATAAATATAGATGCAGACGACCTAACTTTCAATGCTTGTGAACGGCTCTACTCGAAGTATGTCTGTTAAAACTTTACAGGAGAGTTCAATGGACGTTTTAAGTGAAATTTCAAAGAAATATTCAATGTCTATACCTTTTTCAATTGGACAAGATGTTTTCAATCTGCTCAGCGAAAACAATCATCTATTCTCAACTAACGAATTGGAATTTTTCAACACATACTATCATCGAAATAAATAACATTTCATTCAAAGAGGTCAACTTCAAAAATATAGACAATTTCAACTTTTTAAACAATCATCCAATAAAACAATTGACTTTACATAATTTCTATTCAATTTATAATTTACCTTTATTCAATTCTATTGAAAAATTGGAATTCTACAACTGCAATGTTAATTATAAAGAATTAAATTATTTAGGTCATTTATTAACAAATTGCCATTGTTTAACTACAATAATTATTACGAAAATGAAAAGTATGGCTAATGGATTAAGAAAATCTTGTTTAAATCTTTTAAAGATTAAGATTTCCGATTGTGAATTGGCTGGCTAATCTATTTGAACAGTGCAATTCGTTACAAGACATTGAATTGTCTTATGATAAATCAATTGGTAATAGATTTTCATTAATCTGCAATGGATTAAGTTCTAGCAGCGAAACTCTTCGAAGAATTGATTTTTCCCATTGTTCCCTAACTCGAGATTCGGGTAAATTTACAAGAAATCAACATCCAATCGAACGCAGCATTTCGTAGTGAATTTCAAAATATTTGCATTGGACTGAATTCATCGTCTAATTCTCTTTCGAAAGTTGACTCTTCATTTTGTTATCTACTAGAAGATCAAGCCTATTGGTTAGGTTCACCATTCAAAAGTTGTAAATTCTTACAAGAAGTTGATTTGCAGTCGAATAAATACTGCAACGACAGTTTTCAAACTATAACAAACGGTTTGAAATCTTCGTCTGCTAATCTTGTAAAACTCAATTTGGCTGATTGCAATCTAACCGAAAAACAAAGCTATTGGTTAGGTTCGCTTTTAGAGTATTGTCGATTCCTGGAGGAGATCGATCTTCGAATGAACAAGCAATGGTCTAATGGATTTGAAATGATATGCAATGGCTTAAAATCTTCAGCTCATCGTCTTCTGAAAATCCAACTCGATCATTGCGATATTAGGGAAAAGAAAACTTATTGGTTAGGCTTGCTTTTAAGCGAATGTAGAATATTGCAAGAAATCTCTCTTCAACTCAATCATTCATAAGGTATTGACTTTGAAAAGGTCTGTATTGGTTTAAAATCTGCATCGGAAACACTTTTAAAAATAGACCTGTCATACTGCAATTTGACACAACAGCAAATTTATTGGTTGAGTTTACTTTTCAAAGAGTGTACTTCGTTAAAAGAAATCCTTTATATATGCAAAGAGACTAGCGCCAACACGTTAGATTCTATGATTAACGGATTAAAATCATCGTCAAATACACTGTCAGTATTAGACTTTTCGTTTTGTTCGCTGATTGAAGATGACTATTTACGCTTCGCTTCTTTGCTTGAAGAGTGCAGCCGCTTACAAGTGGTCAATTTAAATAATAATAGCCTTCGTTATAATAGAAGCATTAACGCAGTCTTTTTAGCATTGAAATCCTCCTCTAAATCTCTTCTAAGAATAGACATTTCTTTCAATACGCTAACAAAACAAGAAAGCTATTCCCTAGGTAATCATTTGAAAGAATGCCACTCATTGAAGAGTTTCAACATTAAGGGTAATACTGCAATCGATGAAGGATGGGAGGCAATCTGCGACGGATTAAAATCTACGGCCAACACACTAATGGAAAGATAAAATTCTTTTAAAAATTTTTTTTACTTTCTAGTAATTAGGTTAGGGTTAGGTTAGTAATAGACTTATCATTCAAATTGATATCTAGCACTTGATTTGGAGAGAGAGTGTTACTATTCATAGCTCCTCCAGATTTCAAGCTTACCGTTCCACGTTGATTGTGTAATTTGTACATGGCGAAATTCGAAATTCGCAATGTTTTTGATCTCAAATTTGTTGATCCTAGGTCCATTTCATTTATTGATATCGGAGTTTGGGTTGCTACCAAATTAATAAATATTTGTAAGAAGAGTAAACTTAGCAGCTTCTTCATTGTCTTGTGTTTATAATTTTACGAAAGAGACTCTTCGACTTGACTGGTAATATCGCTTTCGACGATGGATTTGAAAGTATATGTAATGGATTAAAGTCTTCATCCGATAATCTTTCAAAAGTAGACCTTAACATGCGTCATCTCTACAAAGAGCAAAGCCGTTGGTTAGCTTCACTCTTTCAACAGTGTAAATCGTTAAAAGAGATTCATTTTGAAGGGAATGATCATTGCGGAATTGAATTTGAGAAGATCTGCACTAGTTTAAAATCATCTGCAAATACACGGTTCATAATAAATGTAATTTCTTGCAATCTAACTAAAAAGCAATGCCGTTATTTAGGTTCCTTTTTAAAAGAATGTAAATCTATACAACTGATATATTGGAACAAATTACTGATAGACGAATACACAAAGGATTAGGCCAATCGTCAAATACTGTACAAAATATTAGAGTTGCAAATTATCGTTCATGCGGGAAGCAGACTTTCTTAATCAATTCGTTTAAGATGAAGCCAAATTGATTTTCTCGTCAGTAATTCAAGATTAAATTCTATTATTCAAATACTTAAAACAGGGTTTAGATTAGCTAAATTAACGGTAATTCTTTCGTATTTCTCTAGCGTTTTTGCAACACAAAGACCATTTCGCTCGACTAGAGATATTTCTTTTCTCAATTCAAACACAACACTTCTCTCATCCCTGACTTAACACCACTCTTCCAACAGTTAAAATTACTTTATTATCGTCGTTATCTATAAAAATGATTAGTATTATAGATACCAATAGAATTTCTTTTTTATTGTTTTCAATCAACTCTTTATGAACTATAACAACAAGTTGGTGAATTATCCTATCGGATTATAGGCTAAAGAAATCAAGTCTACTGACGCTTACGTTGTGCTTTATAACTCTTTGGTAAAGTTATCTCCAAGGCCGCGTATAAAAAGCATACAAGTACATGGACTTGGTATCGTTACATAAGAGTTTAATGACTAAAAAAATAGCTTTTAGCCTATTCAACTGTTGATAATTAACGTAGAAAATTAGTATAAAAGGAGGTTGGTTGCTTCAAATCAGTACGAAGCAGTGTTTGAGGCACAATCATGAAGCAGTCGGCACTTTGGCTTTTAGTTTCTTTGGCATTTACTGGTAAGTAACATACAACTCTTGTATATTCCATATTCAATCAAACTCTTGAATTTTGCAGCTGCAATCGACTTTTCAACCCTTCCCGAAATTTCTTATAGAGGAAAAACTTTAACATCCAACGATAGACTTGTCTACAAGTATGAAAATGATATTTTGAACGGAATTAATGGCGTATCTAAACACTATGCTGGATTAAAGATCAGAGCTAACTTGGTTATTGAAATGGAATCTGATTTGGGAGTCAGATGCCAATTGCAAAATGTTCAACTTTTGGGTGTTAAACGTATGGAATTACCCACTCCATTCGATCAACCAATCAGAGGTGAAATGACTCCTTTGACCAACGTTGACGAATTGATTGAACAACTTGAATTGGCTTTTGGAGCTAAATTCACTGAAGAGAGAATCGTCTCTGGCCAAATCTATTGTCACAAACAAGATACCGAATGGTCCAGAAATGTAAAGAGATCCATCATCTCTACCCTCCAAATCAACGTTCCACAATACAAACTCAAGGAAAATCAACTAGTCAACTTTGAAGAACGCGATGTCATCGGAACTTGTGAAAGTACCGTTGTTGTCTCCAGAGTCAACCCTGAAGATGAAACCGAACTCGCTTTGACCAAGATCCGCAATTTCAACAACTGCCGCAACGCCGAAGTCGCTCCAATCTACCAATACTCTTTGTCTGGTGTTTCCATGTGCAATGATCTCCCAGAAAAAAGCTTGGAATGCAAATACCAAGTCGTTCCATCCAACAGAGTTGAATACAGACTCCGCAAAGTTGGCGGAAACTCCAAATGGGAACACATGTTCACAGCCGTTCAACAAAAGACCGTCTACTTCTTACCATTGACCCAACAAACTACCACCACAATGGCCATCTACGGTCTTCAAAGATTCACATTGGCAACTATCCAATCCGAATTGAACAGAGAAACCGCAGTTCCAGAATTGGACGGAAGTACTTACAAACGTTACAATATCGAATTTGAAGTAAACGAAAAACAATTGCTCCCAGAGCAAATTGTTAAGGAAGTTGAACTTTCCGAAAGAGAACAAGAACAATTAGTTAGAAGAATCGTTTCCGAAATTAACAGCCTCCACCAACACATTAAAGTCGGATCTGAAGATGTTAAACAACAATTGGAAAAGACTGTTGGATTAATCAGAAAATGCACTCCACAAATCTTAACCAAAATCTACAAACAACTTTCTGAACAAGAAAAACAAGTTATTTTCACCGATTTGCTTCCAACTTGCGCAACTCCAGAATGCGTTCAAGTTGTTCTTGATGCCATCAAAAACGAAAGAGTACCACTCATTAAGGCAATCAGCTACGTCAAGATGATCGCTTTGAACGCTCAACCAAACAAGAGAATCATCAAATACATCATGGTAAGTAGATTTAAACAACTCGTGTTCATTTTCGTTTCAATACTAATTTTCTCTCTCTCTCTCTCTCTCTCTCTTTATTCATCTATTAGACTCTTGGACAAAATGTTGAAAAGAAGAGCCTTAAGAGACCATTGATCCTTGCTGTCGGTACATTGACCAACAGACTTCTCCAAGTTTACCAAGTTGCTGGAAAGGAAGATAAGATCGTCGGATTTGTTGAAGAAATTCAAGAATCTTTGATCAGAATTGTCAAGAACCAAATGAGAGATGTTGAACTTTGCAAATGTGCTTTGAAGGCTCTTGGAAACATGAAATGTCAAGAAAACAAATACTACGAAATCCTTAAACTTATACAGAACACTGACGTCCCAAGAGAATTGAGAGTCGAAGCCGTCGAAGCTTTAAGAAAGACTGTTTCAGTAAAGCGAGTTGAAAAAGTTCTCCTCCAAATCTTCCTTAACACCAACGAACATGTTGAATTGAGAATGTACGCCGTACAAAGATTGATCGATCAACAATGTAGACTTGAAACTCTCCAAGTTATCGTTCAACACCTCCAGAACGAAGCAAACTTGAACTTGCAATCTTTTACTTATTCTCTCTTAAAGGCTATCTCCGAAATCGAAACTCCATCTCCAGTCTACTACAAATTCGTCGAAAAGCTAAGACTCTTGATGATCACCAACAGACTCCCAACTTTCTCTCCAAAATACTCTCATACATTGAAGGCCTGGAATCTCGATCTAGAATCCAAGACTGGAGTATACGCCTACTTGCAATATACCTACAGTAGAGTTTCCCAAGTTGTCCCAACATGGCTTAGACTTAAAACTTTCACTTCAACCATGGGCCACTACACCAGACTTTTGGAAGTCACCATGAAAATTCAAGGAATGAACCAATATACTGAAAAATTCCTCGGCAGAAATATCAACATGATCCCAAAACTATTTAGCGAAGATATCTCTCTTGAAAAGATTACTCAACTCTTTACCGATGAAGAAATGAGAATGCCCAAACAATTCTTCAACTTTTTCACCCAAAACAAACATACTTACAACTCCATGGATGTTGAAGAAGAAACCGGATTAGAACTAAATGTTCGTCTTTTTGACTACGATCTCATGTTCGCCGATTTCGAATGTCTTAAGGAAGTTGTTATGGATACCGTTGAAAAAATCATGTCTACCACCGTCAGAGGATCTCCTTTGGAACAAGTTAAGCAATTGGCTGAAAAACTCCACCGAGGAATTCAAATTCAAACCACCAACATCTATGCTTCTGTAAACGCAATGACTTTGGTCCCAACTCCCACTGGATTCGGTGCTGCATGGAACAAAACTGTCGCCTGGATCAACCACCTCAACGGAAAGATCCAAGTTCAAGCTAGACCATCCCTCAAGGAATGCATCGAAGAAATGAGACTACCCCAAAAGATCGTCATCAAGACTGGCGAAAAAACTTTCCAACAAAGAACCATCACCTTTTTCAGAAGCAAATTGGTTAGCATGATCCCACAATTGTCCCAAGGAGTCATGTACGAAGGATTCGTCAGTACTTCTCTCCCCGTCAAAGGTGAATTACAACTTGTCAATGGAAACAACAAGGATGTCTGGATGATCCAAGGACTATACAAACCATCCACCGAATATAGACCAACCGTTGTTTCATACATCAGACCAGTCGCTTTTGTCGAATACCCAGAACACGAGCACCTAACTCCTCTCCTATCTAAGATGACCACTGAACCATACACCATTGAAAAGTTTATCGAATTACCATACGTTGCCAAGAACTTGAAGGTTCAAATCCAATCTTGCATTAGAAAGACCCCAGTTTCCTCCCTCGTACCTTTCGCTTGCCCAAATAAGGTTGAACTCGTTTTGGAACCAGTTGTACCAACACCAGTTCGATTCAGTTTGGAATTTAGACCACTCCAAGCTATCCAAAGACCAGAATCTGAAGTTTACGAAACCTTGAGAAAGGCTTTGTTCGGTGAAGAAGAAGTCAAATACGCTTTGGAAGATAATGAATCCCGTATCTCTTACATTTTCGGAAAAGGCAGCGAAGGAAGAGTCGTCTACAAGAACTCTCTTAGATTGAGAATCATCCATGACACCACCACCGATCTCTCTATGGCTGAACCAAAGACTGATTGCACTTTCCATTGGGTCTTTACTCCCGAATTTACTCAACACCAATTTGCTTTGTTGATGAAACAATCTGTCCTTCCTGAATTGTATGTCAAGGGACATTTGATCGTTCCATCTCTCTGCTTGAACAGAGTATGCGAAGGACAAGAATTTGCTGGACTCACCACCTTCTTGAACAGACGACGTGTATCCATGATTAAATTGTTTGTTGATGATAATGAAAAGATCAATGAACAACTCGGAATCCGAAACGAAAGATGTTTCAACAAGCAAACTCAATCCTTGAAGAAAATTCTTCCCCAAACCATCCGTATGCAAATCAAGACCAGCCCAGTTGTATTGCAATTCGTACCCGAAGGTCTCATTAACACTTTGGTTGTTGCTCAACAAACCCTCCTCCAAGGTCTCAGAAAAGTTTCTGATGTATCTTTAAGATATCTTCCATCTCTTCCAATTACCGAAACTGAAATGTACATGAAGATATGCCCCGCTTTGGGCAAAGTTGACGTTGTTGCCAACTTAATGAAACACTCCATCAGAATCGTTAACATCCCAGTTTTCCGATTCTTGGCTCCTCAAGCTCTTCCCGTTCCAGTTAACGCACAACAACAACTCATTCATCAAACCTTCCCCGCTGGTCTTTCTAGATCCGTCTGTGTTAAGACAAGCAAATTTGTTCAGACTTTTGAAAATGTTGAATACCATACCAACGAAGAAACCGAATGCGAATCCGTCTTGGCCAAGGATTGCCGTCGCGCACCGAAATGGATGATCACCTCTAAGGTACTTTCTAATGCTCACCAACAAATCAATGCTTACTTTGGCAACCAACAAACACTTGAACTTATTCCAAGCACCTGGGGAGAACTTCCAGAGGTTAGAATCAACGGTGAAGTTAAGGAAATTGAAGAATTCTCTACTCTTCGAATCCCAGCCAAATATAATCCAACTTTTATCACCTGCACCAGAGACGGAAGACAAATTGTCTGCGAATGCGAAACTCTTGGATGGAAGATTGTTAGCGACAGTTACAAAGTCAAGGTAACTGTTGCCCCAGAAATCAGAAACTACGTTTGCGGTCAATGCGGTAACGATGATGGAGTTGTCGATACTAAAACACTCATCTCTCACACCATCGCCTCCAGTTCAAGATGCAGAATCGAACGCAAACCACTCAGAGAGTGTCAACCAATCTACAAACACAAAGTTAAAGAACAATCTTACCCAAGAGGACCAAGCAAGGTCTGTATCTCCGTCCTCGCCTTCCCAGAATGCTCCGCCAACTGTCAAGTATTGAAGAAATTCTCCAAAGGCAAATTACAACCAGTTAAATACTACTGTATGGATAAAGAATACGCCGTCAAGAAGGGATACTTACCAGAATATTTCGAAGGTGAAAGCATTGAATCTGTAGGAGATTTGGAAATGGACAACAGCTTTGAAGTTATGACTGAAAAGCTCTTGGACGTTGTCGATACCTGCAAGGTTAGAGAATGGTAAATGATGATAAATCATTTAATCGGAAATGTATAATGAACACTAAATCACTTTTATTAAATTTCAATTGTATTCCTAATCCAAAAAGATTTTGAATGCTGTTCAAGTTTAATGGGAATATAAAACATAAATTTGGCATTAAAAAAACACACCAAAAAAATTAATTTTTTTTTTTGCTTAAATGTACTTAGATTATTAATTTTAATTTATTCAAAAATAAAACATTCAATTTAATTGAAATCAAAAGGCTTGTATCTTTTGTTCTACTTTTAATAAATACAATCATTAACCAATTAAAATGATTCAATTAGGTCAAACCACTTTAACACATTGTAAACGCTAGCCGGAACTTTTCAAAGTTAATGTTGTCTCAAAAGAAGTGATCAACGAAAAATCATTGCATTTTTAGTGCATGACAACGCAAGACCACCTACAAGTCTCTATACAGCAGACTTTATAAGAGATGAAGGTGGTCACTACTCACCCATCATACAGCCCTCATTTGACTATTATCTCTTTGGGAGATTGAAGGACCATATCAGAGGGGTCCACTTTGAAAATTTGGAAGAAATTGAGTAAAGATATCAAAGATTTTCTATGGATAAAAACAATCCTCCCTCATGAGAACAGTATCGATCTACTTCCAAGCAAATGGCTGCCGTGCATAGAGAAAGGAGGGGACCATTAAAAAATAGAATTGTTAACATTTTTAAAGTAGGACTATAGGTCATAACATAAACAAAAAATAAATAAAATTGCTTAAAGATTTCTCACAAAAAATACAGAGTTTGAAATATTTCGATCCTGGCTAATATATTAGATTCTTATTCAATCATCTACAATAGAAATCAGTTAACTTTTCATTTGTTTCTTTACTGAATTGTATTACTAGTACAAAATCAGCATAAATGTAAAGTATGTTCATATTAAACTGATCTACTTTGAGACTAACTATAATGTGCTATAATAGGAACATATTCTGCCATCAGTAGACATAGTTAACACTGGTTTTAGGGTAAATAATATCTTCAAAAGCCACAAACCAACATTTAATATCAGATCTAACTTTTAAGCTGGCTTGTATTATATGATTATCATCTTTTAACATAGCGCCTCTATTATTTTGAATTGATTCTCTAAATTCAAAACTTTTCTTTCCAATATCTCCCATCATCCCACCAAATCTTGATTCAGTAGCATTTAAACTCTGAAATCCAATATTCAAGTGCCATCCTGTTAGATAGTTATATTCCTTTGTAATGGCAAATGAAAGTTGTTTTGATCTTCTCTTAACCAAAAGAGAGATTGCTCTGTCAGTAATTTTAATTGTTAATGATCCATACTGTAGTGGAGAGTCAGTGTTTTTCCATATCATCACTTTGTCATTGGGAAATTGAATGTAATCGGTGAAAAATTGAAATATTTCATCAGATATAGAAATTCTCATGATATGCATGTAGAAATCATCTTTCAAAATTCCGTCAATCTTTGTTTTTGTTTGAAAATCTTGTAGAATTCTAATTTGATTAGTTGACTTTCCAACAACATCGTAGCAAATAGTTTGTGGAGTTTTGCTATTCTTATCAAGTATTTGTTGAATAAAATGAGGATCTCCTGAACCACCTAAGCAAATATTTCGAATAGATTTATACTCTCTATTTGTGTATTGTTCAAACATTTGTTGGTTAAAAAATATTATTAATACCTGCACAAGGATTTGGGTTTCCCAAAGAGGAGCTTTGTAGTGAAAATGCACCAGCTTCAAACATATTGTCATTTCATCTAGATACTGTAGCACCATCAGCTACAAAAACATTTCCCGTCCATGCAGGGACTCTAGTATTGAATGGATTGACTGTAGCAGCCCCTGTTGTGTAAATATAGGCGTCTATAACTAAATTTGGGTCCAATTCGTTCAGACCAGTAGCCTCAGTCATACCATCACCTAAAAAGATGAAAGATAAGTAAAGTGTAAATCTGTAAGCTACATAGCTTTTAAACTATCATACCTCGATAAAGTAGTAGTGCTACAACAAAATCATTGGCTAAACCCAAGCTAAAAGACAGTTGACTCAAGCTAATTGTTACAACTTCATTATTTTGAAGAGAAGTAGAAGGTAAATTTTCCCCACCTATAAATGATCTCATTCCATTCTTATGTTCTAGTTTGTACAAAGCATAATCACCCAAGCTAACTGTACCGGAAGAAAGACTTCTGAGCTCCACATTTCCAGATCCAGTGTCCACTTCATTTATTACCAGCTTAACTTGGGTTACAGCTAAGTTGACAAATATTTGTAAGAAGAGTAAACTTAGCAGCTTCTTCATTGTCTTGGGTTGATAATTGTGAGGAAAAGGTTCTTCGCATAAATTTCAAATTTAGCACTGAACTGCGGCGTTGAGAGAAGTCCTATTTATAATAAATTGAAAGAAAGCAATTGTTCTATAAATAGATTCTGAATGGGTTTATAATACGCATATTCAAGATATTGTCTGCTGAGGAAATAGTTGGCGCTGGTTCGCCATTATTTGGTATAGGCTTTTTCTGAAAATATAATAGTTTGATACAATAACCAATTCAGAACTGCTGTCGAGTTTGAATAATGGAATACGAAAACAACATGTTCTTGATACATTGTTATACTGATTGATTGTCAATGATACATTCACAAATATTTGGTTTTTTCAACTCGATTTGAGAAGAGAAAGTATGAATATTGTGAAAATGAGAAAATTTTTTATACTTTTGGAGGTATAGCCTATACTTGCTCGACAATAACAACTATTATCCCTTCCTAATATCAATAGATGTGTGTGTGTGTGTGACTTATCTTTAGGATACCTCTTATAAAGAATGAGTACGAAAACGAGTCCAGTTGAACCAACAATAATACACAATCATAAAAGCATAGTTAAAAGATTTATTTTAGGCCTATAATAAACTAATTCTACAGTTATTCTTTTCTTTTTGCAATGTCCACGTCGCCATTTTATTGTATAAAACTCTTATCGATACTCGCGTAAATTTGATTAAAAGACGTATAAAACTGACTTTTGAGTGATATTATATTATATATGAAAAGAAAAGAATGGACAATCAATAGTTACAAGCGTTTATTGAATGTAATAATGAATTTTGGGTTTGTCACTTTTTAAGAAATTGCGTGGATAATTTTCAAACTATTATCGAAAATGTTTCCAATTTCTGCTTTTCGATATCCATCGCCATTCATATAAGTTTTGTTGATATCTATGGTTAAAAAATGGATAACGCCGTTTGTTCTTTAAAAGAATTGTCTCTAAAACTAATATTATCAGATATGCCTTATCAGAATAAGATCTGTTCAATAAACAATTTCCGTATTCCACCAATCGTCTCAGATCAAATTTTTAAAATTACCAACCAAAGTGGTAAGATAACATTGAAAACAAAAGACTTGAATTTCTTCTCATCGGATTATACAACATTAACAACTCTTGAATTAGTTAACATCAAATCAACAAAGTTAGATAATGTAAAATTTCTTAAAAATCACCCGATAAGGATTTTAAAGCTGTTACGTGTGTTAAACGTTAACGATATTTTAGCAGAAATTAATCCAAATTTCGTTGAGATCTTTACAATCGAATCCGAACTGAATGGGAAATATCTTACATTAAACAATCTATTATCAACGAGAACAATTCAAAAATTATGTCTGATTAAAGTTAGACTGCAAAGATCTCAACCGTTTATCAATTTTATTCAAAATCAATTACTTATAGAAAAACTTGAACTTTGTGACGTAATAATTATGAAAAAGGAAAGCGGTGATACAACACTACCGGTAATGAGCCATTTAAAGTCGTTGAAAAGCCTAAAACTGATATCCTATAATTTCACTTTCCAAGATATCTATTTATTAACAAGTTACTTGAACAGTGAACATAGTTTGCACAGTTTGTCTGTTCATTTTCTATATAATTCAGATTTCCGAAAAGAAGAAATGTTTTTCCAGAATATCTCCAACTTTGAAACGAATCTAACAAAATTGAATTTAAAGTTTTATTCAAGAATATCAATGGAATTATACGCGGAATTGATTATTTCATCGAAATACCTACAAAATCTTCATATTTGCTTCCATAACATGTACGGTAAGAAAGATTTCTTTAGAAAGATTCTAGGTAGATGCCAATTGAAAAAGCTGACATTCGAATGTGAAAAACTCGGAAATGAACCAGTACAATTTGTCAATTCTCAAATGAATATGGAAAAATTATCTATTGTTTTCAAGTACGTATTCAATTATTGTTCAAACATCTCCGAAATGAACTTTTTCCCTCATATTAATTCGCTTGATAATTTAAAAATCTTTAAAATTGTTAACTATTCAACTCCTATTGAAAATAGTAGTAAAATCATTCTCAACGATTTCATTAAGAAACAAGAAGAACTCCGATATCTAATCTTTAATAAAATGCCATTAAAGCATCCATTCGATATTGGTTTAATTACGAAAGAGAACTTGGCTATGCACGCTCATCTAGACTCTACAAAGGATATTTTTTCGCATCAGTTGACCAATTAAACAATTCAATGATTCTTTCACAAATTTCAACAACTGTTGACCAAAATTGCGCAATACTTTCGAATAAGTATACGGGGGTTTTCGAATAGAAGGGGTTAGGGTTAGGGTTAATTTTCAGTGTTGATACAAAATTCAAACAGTGTTTTTGTTATTTGATTGAAAAATAAAATTGATTTATTTAATGAGAAACAAGTTTTATAGAAATTATTGCACTACATTGTAAAATGATTGTCGAAATATGCAAACTTAAAGTCGTCTCTAAAGAAATGGCGATAATATCGAATTGAAAAATATCTTGACCTAAAAACCCTGAAATCCAATATTCAAGTGCCATCCTGTTAGTTCGTTGTATTCCTTCGTAATAGCAAATTAAAGTTGTTTTGTTCTTCTCTTAACAAGAAGAGAGATTTGCTCTGTCAGTAATTTGAATTGTTTTCGAGACATACTCTATTGGAGAGTCAGTGTTTTTCCATATCATAAGCCACTGTTTCCCCATTCTTTAATAATAATAACTAAGGTGTAGGATTTTGTGAACAACTATACAATAATACAGAAATGCTTTGTATGACGACGTGATAGTCTTTTTGAAGAGCCAACGTAAAAACCCATAGAATTTGAATAAAGAAAACTTCTCTATGCTCTATCATATTAGTAGAGTTTAACGAACCCTGCGAGAACCTTCACCCTAACCCTAACAATTTATGTCTTCAAGTAATATGGGTTGTAAAGCGAAATTCCGACTGCTGTGGGAATGGAACATCATTTTTTTCGTTGAGGATGTATAGTCCATGCATCCTCAACGATAATAACTATTTATGCCCCTCTTAATATTAGAAAATATCTGATGTAAAATGAGAACATTTTTTATATTCTTGGACGTATGGCCTATACTTGCTCGACTATAACAACTATTCATTCCTTTCCTAATATCAATAGATGTGTTATATATCTTTAGAATACCTCTTGTAAAGAATGAGTACGAAAACGAGTCCAGTTGAACCAACAATAATACACAATCATAAAAGCATAGTTTAAAGATTTATTTTAGGCCTATAATAAACTAATTCTACAGTTATTCTTTCTTTTTGCAATGTCTACGTATAAATGCCTATCGCTACTCGTGTAAATTCGATTAGGTTTTATTATTCAATTCGCATTTGAAATAGTAGTAAAAATTATTCTCAACGGTTTCATCAAGAAACGCAAGAGGAATTGAGATATCTAATCTTTAATATAATGCTATTGGAGTATCCATATGATATCGGTTCAAATACGACACAGAGAACTTAGCCATGCACGCTCGTCTAGACTCTACAAAAGATATTTATTCAGATCAGTCGACTGAATATATAATTGAATAATTCTTTTACAAACGTTACAGGATTTTTGTATAGCAGAGGTTTTAGAGTTTAGGGTTAGGGTTAATTTTTCAATGTTGATAAAAATTCAATGAAAAATAGAAATGATTTATTTAACGAAAATTGACTTTTGTAGTAGTTTTTTCAACATTTGACCAAAACCGTTCAAATCTTCTAATACATTTTCATCGTTTGCCATTTCTATATTCTTTGACGAAAGTAGAAATTTAACTTTTCTGCCGCTAGTCTGCAAATCGAAAGTAAGCTGTTGGTCTAAAAACTTGACATTTACTTACTAATTTATAAATATTTGATGTATTTATCAATCCGTTAAATGAAAATTTACATTTATGACTCAGATTTAAATGATTACAGACATTTTCAGCAATTTTATGAATATTCATAATTTTGTAGAAATATGGTAAATGTTTAAATTCTTCTATACATACAACAACAGTTTTTGTTGTTGAACAACATTCAATTGATTTGATAAATGCAATATCTAGAAAAAATTTTCCCTTGTAAATGATATTTTAAGTCTAGTCAACCTTTTCTAAGTGTATAGTTACGCTTTGAAAATTTCAACTCTATAATCTGAGACACGTGACTTTGCCTTAAATCGACATGTTTTTTTTAAGAGGATTGTAATTGGGTTTTTTTTTTATCTTAACACTGCTACTTACATTTTCTCGGCATTCACCTTTTTCTTGTATTTATAAAATGATTTCAAATCCCTTAAAGTATATAATAAAGGATCGATAACGGAATTTATCGGTACAATAACAATAACTATGGCAACGTAAATATTCTTTTTTATTGATAAATCAAACAATGCCGAATATACTCCTGTTAAAGAGGATAAAAGAATGGGCGTCTATCAGCGTTAAAAAATGTTGAGAAAAGAGATTTTAATACCTAAAATAGAAATAGGAAACCAACATAAAAAGTTTGTTACTACGATTAGAAATGCGTTCAACTTGAATTTATTTTGTCTGTTTTTGAATTGTTGTTTATTCAATAAATCTTTTGATTGTAAAGTTTCTTTCCAAATTTGAAAGTAGAGTAGAAATATTATAAGGCATACTATTGATACGAAAACCCCAAAAACGATAAACGAAAAGAGCCATCCTTCGGCTTTTTCGCTTGTTATATGTAAAGTAAAACATACGGGACTTTTTGAATAATAAGTCTACAATTTATATTCAACTATTATCTCATTTAGACAATAATTCTTACTTATTCTATTTACGTTGTAAATGAACAGCGGAAGTGACGAGGCGACCGCCGACGTTAAGAAACAAATCAACATTATTAATATTCCTCTAGATGTTGTTAACGTTCTCTTTAGAGGATTAATTATCATTAAATATCTTTCGACTGTAATTAATAAAAGACTTTGAATTGACAATAGAATTGACCAACTGCACAGCCAGCCGATTATACTGCAAGATGGGCTATTCCTCCAAACAAAGTCGTTCTCTACGTATTTGCCTCTGTAATAGATGTCGACGCTTCCTATTGAAATTAAATAGGCCGACGAGCATAAATCGGCGAATGATAGACTTAAATGAAACCAATTCTTATGCTTTTTAGTCAATACACATCTGAATAGAAGGGAAATTGAATTCTCGAATAGGCCGGTTAACGCCAAAATCCAAAGAATCGATTGAATTGTCTTTGAACCGAGAAGATCATTGCAAGAATTGAATAAGGAGGTGGAAGGATAACAATTTTCAAGAGATTTCGAATAGATCTTTGAAAAACAACAAAATGAAAAATAATCGCTTTGCAACTCTTTAAGCGACTTTAACGGCTTTATAAGAGATGTTGCGTGCTTCAACGGTACTTTGGTGTTTGTCAGTAAAAGACGTTCAAGACCGTTCAACCATATAAACGCATTCGGATGGAAATCGTTAATAAACGAATCTTTAATTGTTAATCTAACGAGTTTTAATGAATTTTTGAACAGTGCATTGTTCAAATAAGAAATATCCGTCGATATAAAATCAATTGATAATAGATTGAGCGTATCTTTTAGCATAGTATCGAAATAAATCAGTATTTTTGTATTGAATATTTTCAATTCTTGTAAATTTCTTAACGGATGCGATAGAGTCGATGACATATTTAATATTTTACAATTATTTAAATAAAGATAGGCAACATTTGGGAAAATTTTCGATATTTGAACATTAAAAATTCCGGATGAATTATAAAATGATAATGAAATTATTGATAATTTCTTATCTATATTATTATTATATTTCGTCATATTTGACCAAATTGAAATATTTAAATATTTAAATTTCGATAGATAATCATTTTCAAAAATTATTTTCGTACTTTCAATCGTTTTGAATGAACAATGAATTGAATAGAAATTTTTCATTTTACAATATTCTACAACAGTTCTATTGGCTGTCGATTTGCAGTAGAGTTCATCCGTTCCTTTTAGACAGTCGATTATATCGTTACATATATCGTAGAGTGGAATGTATAATTTCTGATTTCTACACTTTAAATATCCTTTCGGTACGAATTTATCTAAAGAAAAAAACGCTTAGTTTGCAAGAAAAATCTCTCAATTTTTTTTTTCATAATTTTTTCAACCGCAATCGAATTCGTCGTCGTGATAAACGCAATGTACAATTCCGTCACAAATCTGCTTTATCGATATACAATAACCAACTTTATTACACAAGTATTTACCCATTTCGCAAGATTTTCTATTACAGTTTTCCAGACTGGAATACGGAAAATGAACTCTTGTCAACAGATTTCCCATTGAAGTATAGACAACTTCGCAACTATTGCTTTTCAAATTCTCTACACTCTTACAAATCTCCGGTGGAATTGCATTCTCTTTGGCGCAAATACTCTCTTTTTCGTCTCTTCCGTCTAAACAATCCCATTGTTTATTGCATAATATTTCTTTCGATAGGCATTTCCTATCGCATTTGAATCTATCGTATTGAAGACAGTCTACAAAATAGACGAGTAAATGAAGGGCAGCGGTATCTTTTCAATGATATTTTACCATAATCATAATCGAATAGTCGCTCCTGAGAGCATTTTTCATCGCTCTCGTCAAAGCAATTTCTCTCCCGATTACAGACATATCCATCATCTATACACTGCATATTATCGCATCTGCAATTTAGCCTATAAACTGAAGATAACTGTTGAAGATTTTTTTTTGGATATTTTCACCTCGTTTCATTCATTCTACACTGTTTAGTTTCTGTTGAATATGTATTTTTTTTTGTAAATAATCCCATTATTTCTATTGAGTTTATAGAAGAAATTACCGCAATTCACCTCGTCCAGCTTATTAGGGCAATCGTACACAGAATCACAAACTAATTGGAATGCTATCGTTGAACTTACATCGCAATAGAACAATTGAATATTTCCGCAATTTTTCTCATCTTCACCATCAGAAATACAATCGTCAGTACCGTCGCAAACGTTAATCGAATGAATACATATATTATCCATAGTACAATGATAGAAATGATCTGGACAACCGTTGAATTGAACATTTTTCAATCTATTCACCAAAGAAAATCCATAGTCGTCTTTCAATTTTTTATTGTTTTATTCTCAATTTATTTGGAAATAATTGAAATATTCTTACAAGGTAATTTACAGAACGTTTCGGTAATAACATTCAAGTTACAATTGTTTGGAATAACTGTATATTTCACTGGATAAAATTGAAAAACTTTTTCCAAATAGTAGCATCTCTCTTCATTTCCAATATGGAAATTATTATTGGCATTTAATGTTTCCTGAATAGTTAGACATTCCCCTAAATATCTATACAGTTGGAGAAACGGCAAAAACTGTAATAAAGCCTACATTAGTATGTGTTGTTTTGTTTTTTGGTTACTTTGATTGTTGTTCAAAGATGAAAGCGTAAAATTCATAAGGTTTTCTATCGTCGTATACGAATATTTCGCGTTCGTTTACATCTTTAACAATTTTCAATTCTATATAATAAAAAAACGACAACAACAACAGGTTTTTGAACTATTCAAATACGGTAAAAAATGATGTCAGGGTTAATATTTACTTCCGGCAATGTTCTTTTTAACTATTCCAACGTGTCTATTGTCGCCTGTTGTTATTTGGGAAAAAAATTCATATTCATCATTCGAAAAATAGAATTGAGTTGAATTTATCTTCTGGCATTCTTCTCTCGCTCTACTTATAGACACTCTTCTACCGTATTTCAATTTTACATAACAACCGTCCTGAAAACTATACGCATTCTCTTTTAAACATAAAATGTCTGTTGAAAAGAAAACGAATAAAAAGTTTATTCAACTTTATTCAACATTCTTTTTCAATAGAAAAATGAAAAAGTTGCCTGTATTATTTGTACATTCCAATTCGAAATTGTGTGATACGTCGTAAGATTGTATAGGCCTAGTAAAACATGGATGACGTAATAGCGACTAAATAGGTAAAAGAACAAACTTATTAGGAGGAGGTTTACTAAAGGTTATATTGCATTGCGAGATATTGGAATAATTGGGACAATCCATAGAGAATTCGTACGCCGACGGATATCTAATCGATGAACCTCTCAACATTCTAATTGTACCAGTTTTATATCCGAAATATTTGCATATAACCATTGCTTCGTAGCTTTTTATCTCTCTAATATCTCTATAAAACCAATTGTTTTGATAATAGATTATGACTAATCCGTGATAATCCGCCAGAGAAGTTTTAATTGTTTTTGAAGAAAATTTCCTATCACTTTGGTAGAATGAGAGATCGTAGTCTTAAACAGCAAAAATTCAATGATTTCCGTTGATTCTTTATAAAGATAATTAAGAAATTTTATTCTGTATTTTAACGCACCTTTAACCGTATTGGGGTTAGCGCAATAAGCCGCCGCTATAAAACCTCGAACGTCTAAGCTCGCTTTACAGCCGCCCAATAGGTCATTCTGCCATTTACAAGCTCGAAAAGCAGGATACTTTGTTGTTTTATAATGAATTCGTAGTTCTCCGCATATTTGAACCTATTTAATTGATAATTTTGAATTAAATTTTGAATGAATTTATCACCTTGACCTTTTTGCCTTTCATTTGTTTCTGTTGATATTCAATTGGAATACGAATTTTACCAGCAAATTTACATAGCAATTCGGCTATACGATTTCTGTTGAGGAAAGTGAACATAAGAGGATAAGCGCCAAATGTCTTTGATACAAATATAAGCGATAGCCAATCGTTCAAGTTCATTTCAAAGTAGTATTGTTTTTGAAATGAAGACATTTCAACAATATAAGAATCTAATTAAAAAACTGTAATTATATCTATTCACAATTGCATTCGAAACTATTATTATTCAATAGTTTTCATATATATATATATATATATATATTTACCGTTCAACTGTTTTATCGAACAAGATAACTGTTCAAAATTCTCTTCTGAATAGTTTCTTAATATATTCACTTGTAATAATTCATTAATAAATATTGGATTTATATCAATTTCATTTACGCTTGTCATTGTTTTAAAGAATTGACTTTTATTACAAATGTTCAAATTTATTCCCTTTTTCTTAACCAATTGAAATATTCTACCGTTGAATTGAAGAAACAATTTGAAATTGTATTCTTCTAACGTTTTTATTCTGGGGTTAGGTTCGTAAAATGCGAAAATATCTATATTAAAAAAAAAATAGTAAAATCATCTATTTTTCACGAAATAATAAATGAATTAACAGTTTGATTGAATTTTAAAACATTTCAAACAGAGTGAACCGTTGTTCCGAACGTCAGACGCCTCGAGATGCTTCCTACAAAAACAAACGTTTATTTCTTTCGATGGAGAATATATTCTCAAAATAGAAACTAATACAAAACGTGTAGTCCATCACCAATATTTACTGGCATTAATGACGTATAGTCTGAAATATTGAATATACATTCTTTCTTACTGACAAATGATTGAGGCAACCGCTAAAAGAACAAAAAAATACCCCTTTTTCGCTCGCAAACTTGAACAGTAAAATGAATATCGTCGTATCCTAGTAGTTGACACAATTTCTTATGCTGTACCGTATCAATATTCACATCAAAAGCGATGTTATAAGTTCTATTCGAATGTTTAATCTTTAAATATATTCGACCATAAATAGATAGATTATCTTCGAATAGAGATTCCATAAAATAGACAACGTTTGTAGTATCTAAATACATTGAAAATATTTCTTCCCTTTTCAACTGACATGGATTTTTAGCTAAAGAAAAATTGAAAATTAAATAAAGAAATCCGCCGAATAGATTCTTTTCATAGATTCTAAACATATCTCTTTCTGTTCAAGCTACTTTAACAACAAATGTAAATAAGAAGAGGAAGAAGATATATGTAAAAATAAAAATTGCATAGTTATCTTGCCAAATGGATATGTGGATATAGTTAATTTCTGTTGTTAAAATAGCTGTATGAATGTATACACTATACTGTGTATAAATAGAAAATAATTACAAAATGGCTGTGGTGGCCTCTTTTAGTTGAACCACTGATTCAATGAAATGGAGTTAATGTTGATATTGTTTAAAAAAAAAAATTGTCCCTTACCGCACTGTTTAATAAAGTGATTATAATTCAAATCGTTTATATAACTTGAACTAGTAGAATCTTTATCTCTAAAGTAACATTCCGTCTTTATCGGATGATAATCAAAACTTCTGAAATTTTCATTTACCAAAATTATTTTAGACTTGAAAGCAACAGTTTTGTTGAAATATTGAAAAATTTCACTAAATTTTCACTAACTTGCATTCAGTTAAAATTGAACACATCCATTCGCATTCCGTAATATCAGAAGTAGTTAAATACGCAATTGGTTCAATACTTACTTGCCATCCAATCACTTTAGTATAATTGCAACCTATGATATTTAATAAAACAACAATACTCTGTCTTACCTTTAGCTGAATGAGAAATGAACTTTTTTTCACTTACCATAGTTTAGGATAGTCTTGGCTGATAAAATATAACATAGATTAACTAATCAAAGTCAATAGGCCTGATTGATTAACTTGTTTCTCTACTTACGACAAATTGAAATTTTTTCGTAATAGTCGATTGAAGGAAATGTAATTAAACTCTTGTCAATTCTTGTAAAATTTTTAAAATAGCACTGATTATCATTTGTATAAACAGCGACGAATGACCTAAATCGGTTAAAGGGATAAAAGTCAAAACACATGAGACTTTTTAAGTATTCTCGCCATTTACTTGCAATCCTTTAGGTTATTGCAGATAAGTTTACATTTTTCAACATTTACCCCGTGAAATCTTCCTATATTGCTGGTCTCTATTGCCTGATCTTGTACTTTGTCGTAATTACACGCTAGACAAATGTTGGCAATTTTTATTAATAGAATTAATAATAATAACAAAATGAAAAGAAATAGTTTTACGAGAACTGATTCCATTTAAAAATATTACGAATTCAAGTAGAAAAGTGAATTTCAACTGTTGAATTCTCGACATTACGCACACTACCAAACACTCTTTCTCTTTCTCTCGCTCTTAGTGGCTTGGTGGCAAGCTATACCGATGGTGAACTGACGGAAAATATTGAAAAATGAAAGAAATGTATAACATACCGTAGCATCAAGGCCTAAGAAGACTAGTTAATGGATAATTTTAATGAAATATGGATTAGATCCAACTTAATAAAATGTTGAACTTTTGGTATATTCTATTCATTCATAAACGCTTTCTATTAGTTCAATAAATATCATAAATAATTTAGTTTATTATCAAATATTTCATGTTCAATTCTTCTTAAATAATTAATTTAACTTTCATATTTATTCAATGTTTATTATGCTTTTATTATAATGAAAAATAAATACATTTTTCTATATTCTTCTGATCTTCATCTCTATAATTCTGTGTCTTCTATTACTTTCAAACCCATTAACGCAACACCCAAGTAGTCGATCATTTAAGTATATATACTGTATATATTTAAATAATGATCAGGTAAGGTCTCATCATCAACGTCGTCGGAAAACTCGATTATAAACTTGTAGGGTTAGGGTTAGGGTAAAAAAAGGTTTTTGGGGATTTGTGTAAATTTTTAACAAAGCAATTCTATCTTTGTATAATATTCATTATATTCAAGCAAATTAATCAGATTTTCTCCCTTTTCGTCTTCAAGATTAAGTGAAACGTTTTTCTTGTTATGAACAGTTAATAAACTATGGACATTATATTTTCTTGATTAGAATTCATTTCGATAACCTGCATTAAAATTACCTATTTAAATATTGAATTAACGTTAATTAAGTGATACTTTATTTACATTTGAAAAGTTTACATTGATTAACCATTGCTAAAATAATGACACTTATTTTAACCGGCTGTCATCTATACAACCAGGATGGCCGAGTGGTTAAGGCGTTGGACTTAAGATCCAATGGACGAATGTCCGCGTGGGTTCGAACCCCACTTCTGGTAAATTTTTTTTTTCTCTCTCTCTTTATTTTTTTCTACGTTTTTTTTTCTTTAAATTTTCTACGAAATAAGCCTACAAACTAGACGCAGGTCACGTGATTTTAATTGTTATTATTTTTTGTATAAAAATATTCAATTTCAACATTTTCTTTTATTTAATCATAGCGATTGCTGAGCATGCAAAAATAAGAAAAAAACCATAATAACGAGCATTCAGAGCAATCGATGTATTCGATAAGATAATCTATTTTGTAATAAGGTCGGCAAACAGGAAAGGAGATGTTGAAAAAAACATTCATAGAATCGAATATCAAGGATGTTTACCGTAATTGTTTTGGTAACTTTAATGCGAATGAAAGAAATCCATCGTCTATTCTCCATCCAATAGAATAGATAAGAAACTTTGCAAATTGAATAGATTTGATTTATTTACATAATTTCAAACACACACACACACACACACACACTCTCTCTCTTTCTCATCTATATTAATAATAGGTCAATTCTTCAAGCAACAAATAAACTATTACAGTTTTGCGGGACGACACTCTACGTAGAATAGAATTCGACAACACTGTAGTTGACAAAATTATTAGTAAAAGGATTAGATTAGAGAGGAAGCACTGAAGAGGTTATATTATACTGTATAGAGAGAGATACGTAATGTATCTAATGGGATGATGATGATAAAAATAGTCAAGCTGAACAATTGTTCAATTTCATCAGAGCAATATCAATTGATTTTTTCAAACATTCGTCTCGCCAGCTTCTCTTCTCACAAATTGAAAACTTCGAACTCTTCCATAATTGGACGAACCGCAAGTGTCTTTCTTATACAGAGAGGCGATCTTCCTCAAAATTATAAATAATAACAACAGAGCCGCGGGTATTTCAATGCAGCATTCTATGATGAGAGCCATCGTTAAGAAGTCATAGAGAGTTGCTGGGGAACTGCACTGGTCAAAATTTTCAACTTTTCCACCGTGAATTGACTTGTAATAAACTATTAACAAAACAATATAGATTTTCGATACAACGGAAAAGATAAGATATTTTATCCATTGTTTAGTTTTAACAAACCAAAATAGATTTAATACATTTGGAATTTTGAACGCTATGCAGAAAATCTGCAATAAGATATTTAAATAGGCGTAGATGTTGTAATCGCCAAATGGCAAAAAATCCATTCCATATCTATTGTAAGGCGTATCGACGCAAACCGGCAATGTTGAATTAACTGTTGAATTCTTATCAACTTGAATAAGTTGATTGGTGCCGTTCTGTAGATTATAACTAAGAATTTGGGCAAAGTTTTTAGGACAAATTTCAACATGAATTAAAAAATAAGAGACAATTGACAAAAATAGACCAACAACCGTCATTGGTTTGCATTTCGTTGAATCGTTAAAGACGGTTGAATAGTAAACTTTTAAAAATATGATAAAAATAACAATGGAGTCGGTGAAGAAGAGAGGAAGAGTAAAATTCAGGTAATTGTACTTGTAGCACAAGTCAAAACCAAAGTTTGGAGGATAGAATAGAAACGTATAATGCGCAATTAGATATGTTCTATAGGATGAATAGATAATAGTTGCTATAATTTGCTTTACGTTTAGCGAAGATGGCTTTAAATGGAGGAAAAATATAGGAGCCAGTGTTGATAATATGTTGTAGACGCTTAACCCGTTTATCCTGCCAACAAATCATTAAATCAGTAAATTAAAACCGATCGTTTAATGATATTTCTTTTTACTCTGAATTGTAGGCGGTTTCAATGCAAATTTCGTCCGTTTCGTTCCATTCTCTTGACTTGTTTAGAATTGAAAAATCTAACGCTGACCGAAAATTGTATATTGTACGATAATCTCTTGTCAAAAAATCATAATGCAGCGGTATAGTGAATAAAACTGGTAAGACGAGAGAGCCAATTTCGTAATACTTGAACCGTTTACTATTATTAGAATCATCTTTCTTGCACATTGCTCCTTATAAATCCCGCAATATTCGCAATTCTCTATGTTTTACGACTTTACAAACTATTTATATTATCATATAGAAGCAGACGAAAATTTTTTTTTTTTACAAACAGCTACAAACCTATCCCAACATCCTCTAGAAGATTGCGGACACCGTATAAGCATTGCTTCGGAATTTTTTTTAGTTTTAACTTACTATTTAGTCACGTGATTATTATTTTTTGAATGAATAGTTTTTATTAGTTATTTGTTCAATATGGACGGTGTCGTTGGAGTAATTTATGTGTTGCGCCAAGACTTCTGGGTTGGTGTGTGTTTGTGTGTAAATAATTAGCTTAACCTAATTATTCTATAGAAGCACAAAATCTTGTTCTTACGATTTATCTGTTGAATGAATGAATGAAAGATTAATTCAATCAATAATCTTTTCAATTGTATTTAATTAATTGAGATTGAATAAATTTTGAAATAAGTTGAAAATCTTTATTTTTACTTTTGTCGTTGAAATTTGGAATTAAACTTTGAATATCAACTTTTATTCCAATTCTTAAAGTTTCTTGAAAATTTTCAACAATTTTCTGTTAAAACACAAAAAAAAAAAAGAGAAAACAATACAGAAATAGACAGAATGTTTGAAAAACTTTACGTATTGAATGAAAATTCCTTTATGAAAATGCTGGAAAGAAATATGAAGAAGATGAAAATATTTTAGTATTTGAAATGATATCTTTAAAGCTTTCAATAAATTTATTAGACTATTAATTTCGTATGGAAACGTTTCGAATTTCAATGGAAGCTTCCTCCTTTTATTTGTTATAAATAATATACTATTAACGTATTCATTCGTCAGGTATAACACTGAAAATATGGAAAATAGATAATAGAAAATGGCGGACTAGGAAGAGTAGTAGGAAATTATAAATACAGTTTTTAGTGTAGTTGTCAACAATCATATCTTTTTTTATCTTTCTGTTTGTTTGTTTGTTTTGTATAAATAAACCATTTTTTTGTTGTTTGTTAAATAAATACATTCGAAAACCTACTTTTCAATATGAGACTTTCTTTTAAACCCGTTTATAAAATAGTAGGTCAAGTGAACAATAGGATTTGTAACCGGATTTAAAGGGAGGATAAAGACGAATACGTAGATGTAGGTATCGTGAGTGATAATACTCTTACCAATGCTGGCAATTATACCTAAAACAAACAATTAGTTGAAGAGAAACAAACGCCAAAAATGTTGATAATTGCTTACCTAAAAATGACAAAGGTAGCCAAGTGATTGTATTTGATAAGATGATAATAAACGAAGCTGATGAGAGCATTTTCTTTAATCTGGTACTTTGTTCTTTTTTTGAAAGTACTAAACTCGCCTTTTTATAGATTGTAGAGAATATTTTCGCGTATAACGCTATTATTGTCGATGATACAATCAATGAAAATATAGAAAATATAATAAACGAATACATCCAACCAGTCTTTTTGTCGTTTGTTAAGTGTAAAGAAAAACATAATGAATACCTTGAATGATAATTCTAAAATGGATGACAAACAACAAGTTAGTTTTATTAGAAACAAAACAACAAAACTATAAACTTCTGGTTTTTGTTTTTACCTGGAAAATGAACAAAGGTAAAATGGATACAGCCACCGATAGGAGGGTTGCAACCAGCGTAAAGAATATTGATTTTGATAAAGAGAGCATCTGAAATCTTAATCCGGAAGTGATGATTATAAACTTTTCAAACGTTACAAGTAGAAGGAAATTTTGTGATAGAAAACACGAAAAGGAGGCTAAAATTCCAGAAATTTTACAAGCAAGGCTATTTCTCCATTGCTCGTCGTAATCTATAAAATTCTTTGAATATTTTATATCGTGAATTGCTATCATAAGAAAATAGACAGATAACAGTAAATCGGCAATTGTTAACATTATAGAAAAGATTTTCGAAGGTCTATTAACATCTCTTAATTTCACTACAAGACAAACGATATTCGCCAAAAGAGACACTACGGTACAACTGTAGAAAATATCTTTGAAAAGAAAAAAGATTGGCAGAATGAATGAATGAATGAATGAACGAGAGAGAGAGAGAGAGAGAAAGAAAATTTTCTGTCCTTGGTCATTTAAAAGTGGCCAAGCGGATTTAGCCTCTTCTACAAAAATAAACCAGGACGTTCTATTCGATATTTAACCTACATTTAAACAATTTGAAATTAATCAACTCTCCACAAGAGTTTGTGTCACTCTTTCTAGGAAGACACTCCTCCAAATGGTCGCTTTCAATATAGCAACAAAATTTATATTTATCCGAGTATAGTCTTTGAATTGATTTTAAATTTTTGAAAGTATTTCGAGAAAATTCCTTTTGTAAATATGTTAAATTTTTCATATTCAATTCATTTAAATTTTCCAAATGTTTGAACAAATCTCTATTATCGTCGTTAACAGAAATTATTGAATTTGATAAATCGAGTTGAACGAGGTGTTTCAAATTTAAAAATGCATCGTTTCCAATCTCCACCATATTCGTATAACTTAATGAAATTGTCAACAAGGAAGGCGGAAGTAAAATATTGCGTTCATTATTTAAATTCAACAGTTGATTCTTGACCAGAATTAATCTTTGTAATTTTTTCAACAGTTGAAAATCTCTATTCAACAATTTTATTAAATTGTTTTCAGTTAAATTCAAAATGATTAAATTATTCATATTTTTTATTATATTCAAATTAATTAGGCCTCCGTTGAATATTTCAAGTTTATTTATATCTATTAATCTTTTCACTTTGAAATTTGAAATTAAATTATTTACTGGAAAATTTGAAAGTTGAATAATTCTCCAATAATTTTGAATTTTGTCGTCTTTGAATAAAACGTCAGCCGAACCATTTGTACAAGAAATCCTAATGAAATTTTGACATTCGCACCCGCTTTTACAGGTAAACTGTTCACAAGTAATCCAGTCTAGATTGTCGAGCATTGGACAAAGTGGAAAGAAAAATCTTCCGAAATCAGATTTAAGGCATAGGTTAGACATCGGCATGAATAATCCCGACTTTCGACACTTGAACAGATTTTCTGATATTTTAAATATCTCTACAAGTAATACAAACAAACGTATTCTTTTTACAAACAATTCAAATCGATTGAAAATTAGTTGTAGATACTATTTGAGCAGCCCTCCTCGTCGTCTCCGAGAAGGCAGTGACTGATACCGTCGCATATCTTATCACTTTCGATACAATATCGATAATGTTTACAAAGGTATTCACCCATTTTACAAGTCTTTAATTTACATTCCATCAACTGCGAAAACGGAATAATAGTTATCGTCCATAAAAAATTGCGAACATATTGGAGTCGGCAACTGCGCTTCATCTCTATAGAATAAGTGAAGAAGGTAAAAAGTTGATTAATTAATTGATTGATTGATTTAAATGGGTGAAAGGCTTTTTTCTTTACTTTTCATTTTGAATAGAAGTTTCTCCAAAGTATCTAGAAATCAGCACAAATTGATTGATTGATTAATTGATTATTATCGTTAATAAAATAAACAATACAGTAAACTTTGATGTGAAGTATTCTATGATTTGTTTTCAGCTTGGCAATATGTTTTATTGAATGGTGAGATTTGGAACTATCTGTTGTATAGTCAATTGACTCATTTTTCCAACCTATCGTTTTGTCAATATCAGCCTCTACTACTTTTATGTCGTTTCTTATTGCATATTTATAGGTAAATTGTTTGAAATATTCCTTTTCATTAACCTTCTTCATATCTGATGACAAGTTTGTTTTAATGGATCTTTTGAGGTATACACTTTACCATACGTGCATACAAACAATCAAACAAACGGGCGATTACTTACCAAAGCAATAATCGACGTCACTTTTATCTATGCACGCCGACAATTGCCTGCAGTCTAATTTCTTGTAAGAGCACTGACCACTTAGACAAGTCCTTGTAGAAAGTTATCAAAGCGGTAGATATGAATTAGAGATTAAAAACTGTTAGTTAAAAAAAATTTCAAACCATTCGTTGCAAATTTCCCTTTCTAATTGAAAAAAAAAAACAAAAAGAAACAAGAAAATCATAAAAAAAATTGACAACTCTACTCTATCTGGTTCTTACCGCAATCTTCCTCGTCACTTTTATCATTGCAATCATTAACGAAATCGCAGACAAGATGTAAACCAATAGATTGACTTTTGTCCGCGCATTGAAAACTGTCCTCATCAAATGTTAAACAATTCAACTCGTCCGTATTATCAAAACAGTCTGGAAATCCGTCGCAGATAAACTTTATACTTATAGAATATCCATCATTGATACATTTAAATAAATTCACTTTCTCAGACTGATAAAAGCCGTTCCCGCTGTTGAGAATTTCAAACACCCTTGGTTGATTGATTGGAGAATGGTAATCTATAATAAAAATGGTATTAGAGGAAGAGAGAGAGAGAGACAGAGAGAGACAGAGAGACAGAGACAGAGAGAGGTTATCCGTCTCATTCATTCCCAACTTACATTTCGTTGTAATTTTCCTTTCGCAAACGATATATTGGAAAAGGCTACTATTGCAGGAAAAGAAAGCGTTATATTCGTAATTGTTGTATTTTCTCAAATAGCCACATTCGTAAAAAAATGCAGGATCTCTGGGAATTCTGTAGGAATAGAATGATAATTCATTCAGTAAATTTTAACTCATCAAACAGAGACAAACAAACATTTGTACATTAATTTTGTCGTAGTGTAATGTCCACATTCCAACTATATTCATAGGTACATTATCATTATTGAGAAACGTACCGACAGTCGAATTATAAGCAAATCCTGTTGTCAATTTGCCAACAAAACAGGCGACTGCTGTTAATTGATAGAAAAAAAAGAAAAGACACTCTACATACCTATCGGGATGGCTATCTTCCTCTGCGAAAGATTAAATTGAAAATATAAACTATCCGACGAGTTGTACTCGTAGGAATTAATCATGAAATTAGTGAATTTAGCCTCCTCTTGATGGGATATTCCAACTAATGTATTGTTGCACAACCTTTTACCATTCCTGTACGATATCATCTTATCAACTTTACAAAGATAATAGCAACTTTTCAAATAGATAAACTTTGTTTGACATCCACTGATATTATCTGGACAATCTTTGAAAAATCAACAAAATTATCAACTTACTTAACCGTATTGTTTGAATAATTTTCAATTCAACCTAAAAATTGTTTAGTACATTCAATTGAAATGTCGGATATGTAAAATTTCATAAGCCAATCTTCCATAAAATGGTTAACTTTACATTTTTCAAGATGATTTGCCAGCTGACAATCAATTACTGCGAATGCGTGAGTACCGTTTTGACGCTCTTCGAATGGCATTATTTTACCACTTCGAAAGTGAAAATATTGACAGGCTATTTGTACTTGATGATAATCAAACCCTATATTTGAAAATGGATACCAAACATTCTCCCAATTAAACTCTAATCTTCCGACAAAATGTTGATATTGATTCAATTGATTTCTAATTAAAATCCCGTCATCTCCTCTTAATCTTAGATCAACGTCTATCAATGATAATCATAGTGGAAAATAGCGTTATTAAACATCTTTTCAACATTTGTTGTTGTTGTTGTTGCTTACTGTTTAACGATTCTAAACGACTTTGCGGCTTTTTTATACATTGTATTCCCAATGTTTGATGATCGTAATAGCTGTACTCGGCATTAACTCGTCTACAATCTTTTAACGCTTTTACTCCGTTCAAACATCTGAATATCAACTTTCTTTCTAAATAATCTAAATTCCAAAATTTATAACTTTCAAACAGTTGTTGATCAATTTCGTATCGTTTCAACATGTCGGAATTGACAACTTTACAAAGAATTGCATGAGTTGTCACTTTCTCTTCGTACGAATGAAATTCGAATAGAACTGGAAGAAATTTCATATTTCTAAATATTCCAGGAACGAGAAAATCAATTGTTGGTTTGTAAAGAAATGGTAATGATTTTATATTGACGAATGTCAATCCTAGACTTGAATTTATTCTAAATTCATTATTTTCCCCAAAACATACCGACTGCGAACAAATTGGAAGCGTTTCGTAACTTTCCTCGTAATCCATTGCTCTTTCGTTTCTTCCGCGAATCGTAACGATATTTCCGCAACTATGCAAAGGTTTATCTAATAGGCAAGGAGTGGTATTTCGGCGAAATTTTCTCAAATAAACAACATTCTTATTATTGACAAACTCGTCAGAGTAACAGACGTAATCTTTGAGAGTAAAAAAGATATAAAAAGACAGATGGATAGACGGATAATAATTTACATGGATTCTTTGAATAGTAGCATATAAGCTCCATCTGAAAATGTTGATATAATTTGTAGAATGAGCAAGCTCTTTTGCCACAATACATGGCTCGAGAGATTCTGCCTTTAAAGTCATATTCGATTGACCCTGAATCCGTTCTAACATCGTCAAACAGACCATCGTCACCCTTTAATTTCGAACATAGAAATCCAGCATGCCTAACACTTAATGGTATAGCAACGAACGATGCGTATTCGTTAGATTTGATAATAACTTGACCTCTACAAAATATTTTAGTACAAAACGGTTCGTCGAAGAAGAAAGGTTGAATTGCTGAATATTTTAATTTCTAGAATAGTTTCATTCAAACATTTTCAATTAATAACATTAACGATTTAAAAATTATATTTACAATAACTGGTAATACTATTAACGACCAATTAAAATTTACCGAAAAATAATAAAAGGTAAACAATTGAAAGATGAAATTTTTCATGGCGCTGTTCGTCTCTCTCTCTCTCTCTCTCTCTCTCTCGAAATATTAATATATACATAAAACAACTCATATTTGAAATTCAAGTGTTTTATTCAAATTTCACTTGGTTTTGCTTTATTTATTAAAGAAATATCTATCTAATAATTTTTTTATGATGTCTTTGCAGTAATTTTCTTAATAGTAAAGCTAATTCTTTGATGTTTTTCGCCTTTTCAATTAAACTCTTTGAATAGCCGTATCTGGCCGTATTGGAGCTTCTCTGTAGAGGGTTAATATAATCTTCATTAATTCAATATCTACAAAGAAACAATACTTACGATATTTAGAAAGGAAATGTCTATCTCATTTACAATATAAATATTCAATTTATGCATTCTTGAAAGAAAGATAATCATCTCTCTACAGAAATTATGAATATCTTTAATATTCAAACTGCAATCTAGCGGATAGTCTCCTCTAAACACCTCCTTCAATAGAAATAGTTCTTGGGCGGCTAGAGAGCAAAAATATCGATTAACACTTTAAATATTCTCAACAAATATTCTTTACGAAATGAAAATGTTTACATGGAAAAAGTACTTTATTGAATAAAATTTCCAGTTTTTTCAACCTGTTTGTTTGTTTGTTTTGAATGAAATCTATATATATATATATACAGTATATATAAAGTTCATACTCACTTTTGCTCTTTCTGATAATTCCTTGTTATACTACAAAAGTAATAAATTCGACTTTGATAATAGATTGATAATATCCAAAAATTGAACGGTATCAACATCATATATTTATGAGAAATGATATTCGAATAACCAAATACCAGTGATGAGAAAGACGTCCAAAATATTACTGATATTATATTTCTTAGCATATTTGAATAGATAACGAAATAGTTTTTTTTTCCAAATTTTGAACGTTTTGAATAGATAAAAATATTAAGGAAAAGCGTCAAAATTGTGAAAGCAACATTGAAATAGCCGACGAGAAATGATATTAATCTACTGGACTTGACGCCGCCCAACGGATGACAAATGGCATTTTCAATATGAACAGTCTAACATTGAAATCTCTATTGGTAAAGCGGACGAGAAGAGGTCTATAGAAGAGAACGCCTACCTTGTTTAAAGTATAAAATAGTAGAAGGATAGCTGAAATGGTCAAAGGTAAAATATTGTAGTCTAACAAAAATTTTAGGCATTTTGTAGCGCCAATTTTTGAATTGGTTGTTATTGAATTTTGTATCAAGTAATTGAAAAGTATTTGAAATTGATTGAATAGCGTAAAGTATATAAGAAAGAATAGAAATTTATTGAATAAATCGCAACATAAGCTGCTCGACCAGGAAACTATAAAAGTATAAAAAAAGTTACGAGTCGTGAAATTGATAGCCAATAGGACTACGATGTAAATAACAAAAATTACGTCAAAACAATAGTTTAATGCCGATGAAAATGATACACGCTCCTTAAGGATTCTGGTAATCAAATATTCAATTATCATCAATACCGCTAGACTAAGAATTGTAAATATTAAAGATAGTATTATTGGTAAAGAGGTCAACATTGGAGAACACTTATGCAACATTCTCTTATGCCATTTACATTGAAAAATCTCTTTTATCGCCCGAATAAAACAACAATAAAGGTAATAATCAACTTCCAAATATTCCAAATCAGTTAATTTCTCTACATTCAAAGATTGAAAATCGATGAAAATATCAAAAGTTTCTTTCAAATTCAAATATTTCAATTCAACTAATCTAATAAACAATTTCGAAGTAGTCGACGATAGATGATTATTTCTCAAATTCAAATATTCTAGGCCTATCAAATCATTGAATAATAAACTATCAATACTTTTCAAGTTGTTGAATGATAAATTTAAATGTTTCAAATAGTTCATATTTTTGAAAATGTTCTTATGGAACGATTCAACAAAACTGTTACTTATTGAAAATGTTTGTAAATATTTTGGTAATGGTAAATAGATAGATTCCAGTTTTTCAGTTGCGTTATAGCTATTGGTAGAATTTGAAAATATATAGTCCAACCATAAAATTCTTAGGTTAATCACATTTTTAATGAATGAAAATGTGCTCGAATTGTAATAATATCCATAATGGATTCCTAATACAGTTGTTTTGAAATTTTTAATATCAAATATCGACTTATTTTCCATTATGTAATGTCCATTACGTATCGTTACACTCTTCAAAGATGCAATTAATCGCCATACTCTTCCAACTGCAACGTTATTGCAGACGACTCTTAAATAATTTGAACATGTACAATTTAATGGACAAATCAAGCGTTCGCAATCGAATTCGTCAACTCCATTGGGGCAATTGTAAGTTTGTTGACAAACTTCCGACAACGAAAGAAATATTGCCTTTAAAGGATCGCACATAAAATAGCCTCTAGGTCTAAATTTTGCTGCAAAGTCAATAAAGAAACTTTCAGTCGTTTATGAATTTTGAAATGATTTACTAAACAAACAGCAATTAAACTCGTCGTCGAAATGAGAACAATGCGCAATTTGATCGCAAACGTTTCTTATATCAATACATTCGTTTGTCATATAGCATTGGTATTGTCCATATTCGCACTGTTGTTCGCATATCAAACTATTAGTTTTCCCACTTTCACTAGGAATTAACACGCCTATACTATTGTATTTAAAAGAGCATTGTCCTCTGCAAAGGAGACAAGATTATTGTAAATTGGTGGACAGCTATTAGCCGAATCTCTCCTCACTTGAAGTTTATATAAACAGCCTTCGATTTACAAGGTTTTACCCAATGCATTCCCAGGCCAATTGAACAATCATTTTCATCGCAAATCCTCTGAAGGGACTCTTGAACTGAAAAAAAACAATATTCAATTGTCTGGACGACTTTTCATTTACATCGTTTCACCAACTTTCACACCATTCATCGCTATAATCTAAACAATCACGTTTTTTATTATGAACCAATGACGCACTTATACACTGACCATTTGAGCATGTTCTAAAAAAGAATCAAGTCTATTTGTATTCCATTGTCGAATTAATAAAAAATATTTGAAGAATTTTTACAATTTTGGACATTTCATAAACGCTGAGGGAATTGAAGATGTAATTAGTCCATCCTTTCTACTACTTTCTCTACTTACAACAGTATCTTTCGTCCGATCTATCAGCGCAGTCCGGTATATAATCACAAACGAGGTTTGCACTGATCTTTTCTTCTTCTCCTCCCTTTCCTCCTTCTTTTGAACGATAGCATTGGAAATACGAGATACGACTACAATTCTCTTCATCAGATTTATCTAGACAATCGAATCTACCATTACAAACATATCTCCTATGTATACAAATCATTTCGCTTTGACACAGGAACGAGTTGATTGCGCAAGTAATTTCTTTAGTATTACTTGCCACCCTTTTGCTTAAATTTAAAATCGTATAGTCTAAATTGTTATATAAATAAACAATATTTATTTATTTATTGATATAAAAGATATCAATATCTTATCAATACTTACTTGTCTTGACCTTTTCGCATAGTGTAAAAGCCAACTTTGTATTTAATGAACAAGGGATTATTGAAGTTTGTGTAGCTTCTGATCTCCGATAATAAGACATTTTCAAGTATAAGCAAACTTCTTCAACACCTCTATATCTAAATCTTCTTAAGCTATATCGATATAATTTAGTGTGAGTGAGTGAGAAGGAGAGAGAGAGAGAGAGAGAGAGAGGAGAAAAGAGATTTGACTACTTTTGAAATAAATCCATTCTATCAAATGTACTATTCCGTTTAGTGTATAATATCCAATGTTTTAGAACGGTTTCTCTAAAGTTACCAACTTTTTTTTCAGGTTATATAAGAAATTATCAATACAAAATGGATTAACAAGTAGGCATTTAAATAAACAAACAACAAACAGATAATCTCATTTACCTAGGGCTATAGTTATTTCATCTGAAATTTGATTTTGCAACAGAAAATGCCTCAGGAAATTAATCTGCGCTTGATCTTTTAGCACAACCGTCGTCATATTTCGAGAAATACAAAAGCGCTTCCATCGTTGAAATGTGCTGAAGAAAGCAGTTGGAAAATTGTAATAGCAAGTATCGCTAAACGATTGACTGAAAGTACTCTCCTCAACTTCTGGACAGTCTATATGGGGGAAAAGTTTGTTATTTCAACCGATACGAATTCAACACCTTTTGAAATACCAAAATTTTGTTGATTAGAACATAAGATGTGTACATGCAGGAATGGAGAATTCAATAAGAGTAAACTGTTGAAATTCTCTTTGTAACAATCCTTTAAGCTAGTCGACCATTTTGGACAATTTAACGAAAAGAGTACACTCTTTACAGTGTGATAAAAGTTATAGTTATTCATTATTCTTGCACTTTCAAACCCAAGACTCTTGCATACAACCTATTATCGATGAGAAATGAGGTCAAATATTAACGTATATCAAGTATTCCATTCTTCTCCCTAACCTTTGCCTCTTGCCCACCAAATTTATAATTGGATACCAAATGCCAAAACCCTTTGTGATACACTTCCAGAATACCTTTAACGGATATTCCTTCAATAGAATGTGCCTCGTTCAATCTATATAAATAATCTATACATTCAAAAGACAATAAACTATATAATGAATGTTAAATTTTCCCCAAACTTCCTCCTACCAGAACTGCTTGAATTCGCTTTTGAATAAACGGCATTTGATGAATTTTCCGAAATATCATCTTTACACTTGATACTGTTAAAATACATAAGACTCATTGAAGATACAATGTACTTTTTACAAGTTTCCGTCCTATTCAATCGGCTTGAACAATTATAATACCATAGATACGGAATTTTCTTCAAAGGTGTTAAAATGAGGTACTGATCTCTTTTGATTCCATAATGATTCGCCATAGAATTTGGTATTTTTCCAAATAATTTGCAAGTGGTTATAGCATACAACGCAAAATTAACAACTTGAAAAAAAAGTATGAAATAAATCAAATTGTAAATTATATAGATAAAGATTTAAATGATTGAAATAAGCCTACAAGTTGACGACTCAGA